ATTTCACTTTGATCTGCCACGAACTGCAGCGATTTCCACGTGTCCTTTTCAGGCTGTGGGACGGTAAGCTTTACCCATTCAGTGGATCCAGTTTAAAGTTTCACAGCTCTAATGTGCAGCCGTGTTATATCCCCCAGTAGGATACTATTTTTTCCCTTGTGAAATCATTTCTTGTGTTTTGTCTTTAATTAAAACTACTCATGCTGATAAAGGGGATCAAAGCGAGGGGTTTCATCCCTGCTTTTAACCCTTCCACTTCGATGGCACTGTGTCATTGACTGGAAAGCCTGAGGATGAAAACCCCATTAAAATACTGAGAGATACGGGAGGGTCCCAATGTGTGATCTTATCTAATGTATTATCAGTGGGTGACCGTTCCTCCTTTCATGGTAGTATTTTGATCCAGGGAGTTGAAATGGGTTATGTTGAAGCTCCTTTGCATTATGTACACATCAAGTCAAATTTGATTAGTGGCATCTTCTCTGTGGCAGTACGTCCCTCCCTTCCGATAAAAGGGGTGCAGTTTATTATGGCAAATGATATTACCGGTGGAAAGGTGCGACCTGTTCCTGAAGTAACGGATGATCCAAAATCAAACTTGGAAAAACAATGACCTAGCAACATGTTTTCCATCTATTTTTCCTACTTGTGTTCTCACCAGGGCTCAAACACAGCGTAGAGCTGCAGAGATTGATCTGGCAGATTCCTTGTTGGCTCAGACTTTGGCTGCAGATGACTTGCAAACCCTGACTGAACTTAAAGGCAACTCAAAGGATACTACTGAGAAGTGGAAGGATCTCCATCTCTCTGTTGGACTTGTAGTGTCCCTTGCACATGAGCACCCCCTGTCCGGTCATTTGGGAGTTACAAAAATGTACCATAAGATACTCAACCATTTCTTTTGGCCATTAAAGGCTGATGTGGTGAAGTTTTGTCATACTTGTAAAGCATGTCAGATTGCATGGAAGCCAAACCAGATTGTTCCTAAAGCCACTCTCCATCCTATAGCAGCACTTGGTGAACCTTTTGAGCATGTCGTTGTGGACTGTGTTGGTCCATTGCTCAAGACAAAGAATGGTAATCGGATTTTGCTGACTGCAATGTGCACTTCGATTTGTTTTCTAGAAGCTGTTCCACTCAGAAGAATATTTGCACTTCTGGTGATTAAAGTGTTAAAAAGTTTTTCACCACTTTTGGTTTGCCAAAAGTAGTTCAGACAGACCAAGGTACCAACTTTCTGTCTAAACTTTTCAAACAGGTCATGCAGACTCTTGGGATTAAGCATGTTGTGTCAAGTGCATACCATCCTGAGTCTCAAGGAGCATTAGAGCACTGGCACCAGACATTCAAGGCAATGTTGCAGAAATACTACTTAGATACTGGAAAAGAGTGGGGTGACGGAGTACCATTGGTGGTGTTTGCTATTCGTGAAGCTAAGCAAGAATCATTTGGGTTCAGCTCAAATGAACTAGTGTTTGGTCATTGTGTTTGGGGACCTTTGAAGTTGCTTAAAGACCAGTTCCTGTTAACAGACAATGTAGTGAAACTAATGTTCTGGATTATGTTTCACATTTAAGCGAGCGCTTCCATAAGGCCTGGTTAGCAGCAGCAGAAGCCCTCTCCTCTGCTCAGGAGAAAATGAAGAGTTAAGAAATAAGAAAGCTGTTCCTCGATCGTTCAATCCAGGTGACAAAGATTTGATTCTTCTGCCAACTGCTAGCATTGTTTGCCCGTTTCTGTGGACCATACCTGGTGGATAAGAGGGTAAATGACACTGACTATGTGATTAAAACACCAGACAGGAAGCATAGATTACGCTTGTGCCATCTCAATATGCTCAAATCTTTTAATTCTAGAACTAATTCTCTCTGTGGTCCTGCAGATAAGTCTGCTGCATCTTCATCAGAACAAATTTCGTCTCCAGAATCTCTCCTGTTAAGCTCTTATTCAGGACTGAGGCTGGGTTTAGATGAAGATGGGCCCAAACTCTGATGCCAGCTACCAGAGTGCCAGAATGCTTAATTCTGAGCTTTAAAACTAGCAAGAAATACACCTTTAAAAACTGACATCTTGACTCCTCATTCACTATTTTAACTTTATGTTAGTCCCTCCTATCCCCTAGGCTAGCCAGGGGACATAACAGCCGTCACCTTAGAAATAAACAGCAGCACTGAGAACACACTGGACCCTTTACTACGAAAACACAGCTCACTCTCTTTAACAGACTCAATGTTTTTCTTCCCTGGTTTTTACGGGAATTTCTCCAAAACATGTGTTGATCAGAATTATTGATAGACTGGTATAACAAGCAGGCTTGTTCAAGCTGAACATTTCTGCTGCTGCTGAATCATTTGAGGAATTTATAGCTCTGTAAATGTATTCCTATCACTGCTCAGATACTGTGTCCACACTCATATGTGATTATTAAATGTCAGCTCCCTCCAAAATAAGAGCTTTTTCAAAAACTCCAATTGAGATAACATTATTTAATTTAGAAACTTAGTTTGTTAAAACTGTTTCTTGGAGCATGACCTTGAATAATTAAGAGAAAAAAAATCTGATTTAAAAACACTTCATGATGCTCAATGTTTTTAATATTTTATACCGTGACTACTCTTGGATATCCACTTCTTTACGCATGAAGTATTCACTCTGTCAAATGTGTTTGTATTGTGTCAAACATTTTGATTCTTTTTCACCCTCATGTTGTGTTCTGGTCAAATTTTGACCAGTTTACAAGTTTGATCTCTGACAAAATGATTCCATGACTTTATCCACAAAGAGGATTTCAACATATAAAATTGTATTAATTTGCATACATTTTTTTCGTGCTTTACTTAACATTTGTTCACTCCTGGCATGCCTTGTCAAAAATGAACTATCATTAGAAATAGAAACAAGACAATAATACATGTACATAAACAGCAGTCTGCATGAGTACATAGGCATGTGGCCACTTCTATGTGCATCTGTCTGAGTGATTGCGATTGTGTGAAAGAGAACTCTTTAGAGTTCTTTCTTTTGTGTTTTTACCTTTATTTTCTCTTTCCTTCTGGCCCTTAACTTAGAATACACCAATAAAAAGGGTACAGATATCTTAAATGAGTAAATATAAACAAACCAAAGACTACCCGAATTAAGGAAGTAATCAAAACTAATTAAACTAACTAACTAATCAAAACCAGATTACAACACCCCCTGTCTCTCTAGAGCTGTATATTTCTTGAAAATGTATGAATTTCTTTAAAATGCTTTACCTCATTTAATTTTTTCCATCAGGTCTCTTTTAGCTATTATGGCTTTGATGCATTCAGTTTCTTGTCAAAATATAACTGTTTTCCCCTCTCTGCAATTTAACTTTTGTGTCTCTCCAGTATTTATTTCTGCAAAAATGATGGTTAGAATAATTTTCGGTATCACTTTAAAATGCTGCCTTCTATCTCAGCCTAAAGCCATCCCATATCTGTATGCCATTTCTGATTCATATCCACTGGGACTTTGTATGAAGGTAAGGGTGCAAACAGGCATTTATTTGGTGTAATTATTTTTAATGAGGATTTGTTTCTGTGATAATTACATTGCTTTCCTTACTTTTCTTGGCAAGTTATGTTCTGTTTTAATATTTAATGACCCACTTTCACCCCCTCAGTAATTTGCTGTCTTGTGACCCCATGATAATGTATTATGTACAAATATAAGAGTTAGAGCAGGTTACACAAACGCATTTCAAACCCTGATTCCAAGTTTTCCCTGTTATTTTTTGTATTTATATCAGTCATTTAATCAGAAATTTTGCGTGTCACGAGTAGAATCAAGCCACTAAGGCTACATTTACACTGCAGGTCTTAATGCTCAATACAGATTTTTCGGTCAAATCTGATTTTTTTGTCTGCATGTTCACACTACAAATAAAATGTGACAGCAAACACGCTCTAGTGTGAACCCTCAAAGCAGCCCGCATGCGCAAAAGAAGACGCGACACACAACGCGCTCTGTTTAGACCCAGACCAAACAGTATTGTTTGACTGATGGCCGTAAATATAAAGACTTGTTTCAGACTTTACGTTTCCCAATTTTGCTTTAAGTTATAAAGTTATTTTGTTATTTACATATGGCCTAATAATTATCCTTATTGCTGATTTAGAGAGGAGCGCTGCTTCAAAGGATAGTTGCAGATTTCTGTCAGAATCTGTAGATTATACAGTACAAATAAAATGTTCACGTTTCTCCAACGTTGTCTTCCAAACAGTTTCACTCGATGGCCAGGAAGCGTTCGCGATGTCTTATCGGGCGCTTCTCCGGCGCTGATAATTGGCGTCTGTCTTGTGTCAGTGACGTAGAAGACAGATTTAATGCGACATGACCATTCAAACAGCAGTCGCTTTCTAAAGATCAAATCAAATCAATTTATTTATATCAGAATCAGAATACTTTATTGATCCCTGGGGGAAATAATTTTTTGTTACAGTGCTCCATTATAAACCAACATTAAGACAAGACAGACAATACACTAACTAAGAATAGTACAATATATACATATATATACATACATACATACATAAGTCACTCATAAATAAATAGCTGGAAAAGAAACATGTGTAGTTGTAGCAGTAAACAGTGTGTTAAGTGGATGCGTTGTACAGGGAGATGGCCACAGGCAGGAATGATGTCCTGTGTCGTTCAGTGGTGCTTTTCGGTAATCTCAGTCTCTCACTGAACGAGCTCCTGTGACTGACCAGCATGTCATGGAGTGGGTGGGAGGTGTTATCCAACATTGTCTTTATCTTGGACAGCATCCGCCTCTCCGACACCACCTTGAGTGAGTCCAGCTCCATCCCCACAACATTGCTGGCCTTACGGATTAGTTTATTAAGTCTGTTGGCACTTATAGCACTTTTCCCAGGATAAAAACCACAAAGTGCTTCACAGTAATATAAAAACAGAAATGCATAAAATACATTAATAATCAAACATACAGCACAAATCTAATTAAAAGCCAATCTAAATAAATGAGTCTTAAGCTGCTTTTTAAAAGAATAAATACAATCCAGGCAACGTAATGATGGAGGGAGAGCATTCCACAACCTGGGGGCCACCGCTCTAAAAGATCTATGTCCTCTGGTCTTAAAACGAGTTCATGGGATTACCAACAGCCTTTGATTAGATGATCTCAGGCTGCAAGAGGGAGCGTGGGGTTCTAAAAGATCAGAAATGTAGGCAGTGGCATCACAATTCAAAGCTTTAAAAGTCAGTACCAAGATTTTAAAATGAATTCTAAAATGTACTGGAAGCCAGTGTAATGAACACTGGTGTAATGTGCTCTCTTTTTCTTGTCTTAGTTAAGAGCCTTGCAGCAGCGTTTGGGACTAACAAACAACCAAGAGTCCACCTTCGGCTGATTAGAGTGAATCGACTCTTTACAGGTGCACACCTGACAGACGTCCTCCAGATGTTGTTGGTCTTTTATTTTTATTTCTAAACCACACCTTCGGCTTTCACATGCCTACAAATATCTCAAAGTCTCATAACACAATTACCTACGGGTGGCTTCCACATTAGCATCTGCTGTACACTGTTCTTTCTACAGCAAAAAATTAAACTTCAAATCTGAGCAAGCACGCTAGCACGCTGCTACAGGAATATTCACAGAGAAACCCCTGGATCCCCCCACTGAAATGACCGCTGCAGCACCGGGCAAACCTCCACCATGTGAAAATAGATTTAAGAGCAACAGGACTTAGTGCCGCCGAATCTTTGATTTTATTTATTTTTTGCTGTGTTTTACTTACATCTATTTGAAACAGTGAGTGTAAAAACAAAACATTATTTTATTTTATATGCTGGAATATGCAGAAAATAGATTTAAATGTTAAGAAAATTTCTTCTGTGATTAACAGTCAACAGTCAGTTCAACAGTCAGACTGTTTCTCTTTCTTGGACAAGTAATTAGTAACTAATTACATTTTTCAAGTAACTTGACCAACACTGATGGGCAACTTTGACATGCAGAAAATCAACCCTCTCAGACCTACTTTCAGTTAAAACGTTGACATGTGTATAAATTGAGTAAAGCAGCATGTCTTAAAGCAAATTAACCCATACCTAGTATAATCAAGAAAAATCATTACATGATAGTGAGCTTAGACTTGTTGAAAATGCAGGGTTGTGAACTGAGCTTTAGTGAAACACAACATACTGATATTCAGCTTTGAGTGGAAAAAGACAGAAAACAACATGTGGATCCTGGAATAATGGGAGCTTCCATCTTTAAAAGACTGAAGAGCAAGAAGTTTACAAGGAATCATTCAGAACAGTTTAAAACATCAACTGATTGAATTCATGAATCTGAAAACGTGTTTCTGAGCGTAAGAGACAGACATGAACAGACTGAACTATCTGTTCAACAGTCAGAGTGTTTCTCTAACAGGAGGACACTCTTTACACTCCACTCAGCACAGGGACACTGAGGAACCAGAAAAGAGGTAACCAGTGTAGCTGTACCCTAATCGAAACCCAGGATAAAGAGGTTCAGTGAATGTGGTGTTGAAGGTGTGGAGGTGGATCAGAGTGTCAGAGGAGACTCTGTAGAAGGACAGAGTGCCAGCAGGACAGTCCACATACACTGCTACTCTGTTAGAGACAGAGGAGGAGGAGGAGGAGGAGATGGGAATAAGAATTTGCTTGTTATTGTGCCAGACACAATGAGGACCACCAGCAGAGCATTCCAGACTCCAGGACTGATCATTACACCCAAACAAACAGTAATTAATATCTAGTAGCTCTCCTTTCCTTCTGATTCTTCTGTAACTCACTGATATATCAACATTTCCTCTCCACTCGACCTCCCAGTAACAGCGATCAGTCAGACCATCTCTGCACAGCAGCTGATACCAATCAAATCTGTCTGGATGATCAGGATATGACTGATACTCCTCCGCACGTGTCACCTTCCTGTTGTGGTCAGACAGTTTGAGTTCTCTGTTCACTGTGTTTGTGTCGATTGTGAGTTGACAGGAATCTGATGAGAGAACAAACACAATCCAGCTGCAGTTATTGATCCATCATCTGTTCATTGATTGACACTTTGATGATGACTCCTGACATGATGAAGATGGTTGAATGTGTGCTGCTTTGTTTTCATTAATCCCATTAAAAACACACTTACACTTCCTCAGACCTGGTCTCAACCATTGGACTCCAGCAGGCTCCACCCTGAAAGGAGGAGGGGGGTCAGACCAGCACAGTCTCTTTCAGCATGCACACATGGACATTACATGGCTCTCATACACATACTGTTAGACACTGATAAAGGAACAGTCCAACATTTTCACAAATACACTTCGAGCTGGGCAATATGGGAACATATTTGTATATTTTAAATACAATTTTATATAAATAAAATCAGTATTTCTGTCATATTTAAATGGTTCCTTTTTTTTTTGCTGAGTGAGATGGTAAGATAGATGTTGAATTTAAAAAGCACTGAAAAACATTATGAAGTTAAATCAATAACATAGGTACAGTATAGGTGTATATATAAAGAGGTAAAATCTTATTTCATACCAGTCTCAGTTCCATATAAATATGTCTTAATGCATCATCACTCATGCAGGAAAGGAAATCCCAGAAAATGTATTCTATTCATCCGTTAATCTAGACCAGGGTTATCAAACTCATTTTACACTGTGGGCCACATACAGCCCACTTTGATCTTAAGCAGGCTAAACCACTGAAACTCCCCTTTCTGTCAGTGTAGAGAAGTCAAACATTTAACTCTTTTTCTGCATGTTAAAGATAAAGCTGCTGTGACAAAGAAAGATCTGTCAGCATGATTCTTTGGAATTAAATTGTAAGAAATAAATGTGTAGTTCTGGTAGTTCTGGTAGCATATGGCCCAGACTGTCTTTTTGTTTGTTGTTGTTGTTGTCATGGTTGTTTGTTTGTTTCTTTAACTAGTAATTTTAAAAAAAAGACTTCTATAATAGAAAATGAAAAACATAAGCTGTGAACATAATACAACACAAACTCTCGTAGAGGATACAAAGTCAGAGAGAAAAATTTTGAAATGACAAGGAGCAGGCGCATCTAGTCCGTCAGTATCGTAAAATCTTTGCTCTGCTACTAGTACACTTATTCATGTTTTGTCAGATGCTGGTAGTGCCACTCCTTTCATATAAACCATAGGTTTACTTATCAGTTTGATAACTAGCTTTGTGAGACTGCTTGTCCCCATTTCTGATGTTAATGTGAGTGAAACCAGGTCAGTAAAAGAAAATTCCTCTATGTTGCCCTTGCTTTGTAGTAGAGGGCTCAGCTCTTCTTCCTCTATCAGACATTCTCTCCATACCTGAGAGTGTCCAGTTTCCAGCCTCGATCCTTCAGTCCAGCCAAGAGCAGCTTCATTCCTGAGTCTCCTGGATGATTGTAGCTCACGTCCAGCTCTCTAAGATAGGAGGGGTTGGACTCCAGAGCTGAAGCCAGAGAATCACAGCCCTGATCTGTGATCAGACATCCTGACAGTCTGCAGACACACAAAATAGCAATACAACTGCTTTAGAGCAGCATGGGAATAGTAACTGAATTGAGCGGAGATTCCAGAGTGTGGAGAATTAAGCAGAGCAAATAAAGAGAATCCAGAGTTTAATTGGACAGGTTTCAGGCCTGACCAGGAGAGCTGAGGAGGTGAAGCTGCAGACAAGGTGGGTGTTGGATGATCAGAGGCAGATGTGAATGAGATAAACTTTGACTGTTCTACTTTTCAGGACAGGGTCGAAATGGTTTCTCCTGGTGGATCTAGGGAGTTTTGAATCACTAAATAGTGCTAAGGAGAATACTTCTGTGGGTTGAGCATCAGAGTCGGTTGTGCCCATAATCCATCCAGCCATTCGCTTCTGCTTATCCTTTTCAGGGTCGCGAGGGACGCTGGAGCCCAGCTGCCATAGGGCGAGAGGCGGTGTACACCCAGGACAGGTCGCCAGTCTGTCGCAGGGCTAACACACAGGGACAGACAACCATTCGCACTCACATTCACTCTCACATTCACGCCTATGGGCAATTTGGATTAACCAATTAACCTTAACACGGGGAGAACATGCAAACTCCACACAGAAAGACCCCGGCCTGATGGTGGAATTGAACTCAGGACCTTCTTGCTGTGCGGCAACAGTGCTAACCACCGTGCCACAGTGCTGCCCATAATTTAAAATTTTGACTCTTGTTTTGAGCTTCTGGTACTCCAGGTGCTGACATTCAGATGCCTGATTGGCACCAGATTAGTGCTACTGAGTAAGAAGTTCAGATTTTTTCTAAGCCAATTTGATCGTAGGATAAACTGTGAAGATATGGGGAACACTATCCTGATTGGTGCTCTGATAGAGTAATCGCATTTGGTAGAGGTAATGTGACTTGTGTGGAGGGGCCTCGCAGTCGCTGGAAAAACAAGTCTCCAGAGACTACTTTCAGAATTTCTGAGTGGACTCACTTGTGACAAATTTTTCCTGAATTTATAATCTAGCATGGCAAAAATGAACAGAAAAAAACAAATAATTTTTGGGTCCAAAGATTTTGGGTACTCTGGCGTAATCACCTGTTATCCAGCTATCATCATCATACATCCATGTTTAATTCAAAAACATAGGAATATTTTCTCTCACTTCTTCCTCTAGAAACTCTTAGCTCACCAATCACAATATACTTCAGGATAGTTTCTTTTATTAAGTATGTCATGGTTAGATGAAATGTTCTATAAATGTATGTTTAGTCACTCTGTCCAAGCACTATAGATCCCAGACAAGCTCTTGGCTGTGTATCATGCTTATATTTCTGCTTATTTAAGGATCCCAGTATAGAGGCACACACATACAAACTGAATCAGTCACAGGTCAGATATTGGAACAAGTTCACTAATCAAGCTGTATTTCCCATTCATCATATTAATACTTTAATTGTATTTGTATAATAATAATTATGTAATAATTAAAATTATTTACCATTAGCAAAGGAATAGACAGATAAACTTTTATAGCACTCTAACATTTTAAAAACAAAAGGCTGGATTTTGACACCTTGCACCATAGTTCAGCTGTAATGTGAAGTGACAGAGTTAATCTCTTTCAGTCCCACCTCTCTTGACAGTTGTCACAGCTTCAGTGCAAAGTTTTGGATATCCTAGAACTGCATAAGCATTTCCCCCTATAACTGAACTCACAGACAAATTCCAAGTCATTACGGCAAAGTTTCACCACCAAGTTCAGTGTGCAGCAGTAGATTTGGTGCACACTAGACTTTGTGGACCAGTTATTATTAACGTATGATACTAGCCACTAGCATTAATATGTTTTAAATGGGTAGAATTTGGAAGATTTAGAGAAATGGTAATGTGCCAATACATATTTACAGATACAATTCTAAATGAGTTATCATCTAAATGATCATTTATTCATGCAATAAATGATCTCTATTGAAAAGTCAAAATCCTTACGTGAGAATTTCCAGTTTACAGAGTGTACTCTCCACTCCGGAAGACAGCAGCTTAACTCCTGAATCCCCCAGGTCATTGTCACTTAGGTCCAGCTCTCTCAGACTAGAGGGCTGGGAGGTGAGAACTGAGGACAGAGCTTCACAGCTTTTCTCAGAGAGTTTACAGCCACTCAGTCTAAATTTTATTAGGAAGAAGACAGGAAAAAGAAATACTGGTGTTAATGAGTATTCCTACCTTAGTGAGAGGTTACTAGATTTGGAAATAACTTGTGTTAAACAAGTCAGAAATGGTGCCGATTACTTTGACTTAGAAAAAAATACAAAGAAACAATAATAGCATTCATATAGTTCATATAATTACCTAAAATAGTTAAAATGTATTTTTGTAATTTTATCAAAGGTATATCACTTTATCTTACCTGAGAGTTTTCATCTCAGTTGAACTCTTCACGCCAACAGAAAGAAGCTTCACTCCTGAATCCTGTAGGTTGTTGTTACTCAGGTCTACCTCTCTCAGACTAGAGGACCGGGAGCTAAAAACTGAGGACAAATCTTCACAGCTTCTCTCTGAGAGATTACAGCTCCTTAATCTAGATTTGTAAATAAGTATTCTTGTTTAATTACTGACTGAATCCTCCATTTTATGTTAAACAAATCAAGAATTAAATTAAAATGCTTAAAATACAAATATAAAACAAAGTGTGAATGAAATCGACTTACCAACATTTTGTAATGTATTTTTTTTTTTCAATTGATAGAAACACAAAAACAAAAATAAACGAATAAGCAGTATCAGTTCGTCTGACCTGAGACTTTTGAGTGTACAGTGTGGACTGTGCAGTGCACTACAGAGATGCTTCACTCCTGTATCCTGAAAGTTATTGCTACTCATGTCCAGCTCAGTCAGACTAGATGAGTTCAAACTGAAAAGTGTGGACAGATCTTCACAACTTCTTTCTGAGAGGTCACAGTCACTCAGTCTGAAAAATTAGGAAGACAAATAACACAGGTGTTAAAGATGAATCATGCTTACTAAGGGAGCTACTAGATTTTGCAATATTTAATGCTAGTTTAGAAATAGAGCTCACTATTGTCTTAAACTCATCAAAAAAATTATTTTAATGTGTAAAACATTCAAATATTAAATATGGGACATAAATATTTATGTAAACAGATAAACACATTACCACTTCAACTCACACAAGAACTTCTAGTTTACAGTGTGGACTCTTCAGTCCAGCAGACAGAAGCTTTATGCCTGAATCCTGCAGGTTGTTGTTACTCAGGTCCAACACCATCAGACTAGAGGACTGGCAGTTGAGAACCGAGGACAGAGCTTCACAACTTCTCTCTGTGAGATTACCATGACTCACTCTAAAAAATTATAAACAATAATTCAGTTAAATTCCATCTCATTAATACCACAACAGCTGCACTCAAAATTTTTAAGACGACAAAAAAAGTTTTTTATGCTTCATTGAAGAGTTACTTGAATTGGCAATATTTTATTCTATTTTACGACCGACTGGAGTCCTTAAAGCTTTACCATTCATAGAACTCATTCCATCAATGTTTTGACAGACTAAAACAAAAACTGTCATTTAGAAGAGCCCAGCAGCAAATGAATCATGTGGTTTGAATAGTGCTAGAGCAATATCATATTAGGGTTGACAAACAAGCAGGAGGAGCAGTGGGCAGGCGTTATCTGAGGAATTAAAACCCAACAAAGAAGCATAATAACAAACTTCAACTGTGTAAAAAGCATGTTCCAGGTAATACCAATCGTTTTGCATCATCTGAAGTGATAACCTGTGCAAAGCACACACATTGCAAGATTGTACAGAACCTGCCACTCTGTCTTGTACTATGGTTTACATCATAAAAATAAAGATATAAAGTGGTGTCATGAATGCTTTTGCAGTCCTTGTCATTTCCTTTAATGTAAAGCTGGAGGGTAATGACTAAATGCAAGACACAGGAGACAAAAGAGCACTAAAATAAAACAGGACCTAAAGAAATCCAAAGATTAGAGATTCTTTGTACATTTGTCACACTTAAATGTTTCAGATCATCAAACAAATTTAAATATTAGAAAAAGATGACACAAGTAAACACAAAAAGCAGTTTCTAAATGCAGGTTGTACCACCCTTAGCAGCAACAAATGCAATCAAACATTTGCAAAAACTGGCAATGAGTCTTTAACAGCACTGTGGAGGAACTGTGGCCCACTCATTTAATTAAACAATATTGGTAGGCTTCCAAGCATGAACTACCTTTTTAAGGTCATGCCACAGCATCTCAAACAGATTCAGGTCAGGACTTGGACTAGGTCACTCCAAAGTTTTCATTTTGTTTTTCTTAAGCCATTTAAAGGCGGAATTGCTGCGTTTTGAATTATTGTCCTGTTACAGAACTCAGACCTTCTCCTTCAAGATGCTTTGGTACACAGCAGAATTCATGGTTCCATTTACCACAGCAAGTCTTCCAGGTCCTGTGGCAGCAAAGCAGCCTCAGATCATCACACTACCACCACCATATTTAACTGCTGGTGTGATGTTACTTTTATGAAATGCTGTGTTACTTTTACACCAGATGTAATGGAATACACACTGTCCAAAAAGTTCAACTTTTGTCTCATCAGTCCACAGAGTATTTCCACAAAAGTAGCCAGAGTTTAATGTTGTAGATTTTGACTGCTCTTAGATTTTCTTAGATTGTTTATCCAACCTAAAAAAACTAATATTTCTTTGTGGAAATCACCTTCTTAGTGTACATTGGTGACTCATACCTAGACCTAACAACATGACAAATGTAGTAGTTTACTGTAATTTATACTAAAATATAAGAATTCAAAGGCAAAACAACATGAGTGTGAAGTTCACTTAACTATTGGCAGTTCTTATTGGTTATATCTTTTATTTTTTAAGAGAGAACAAACACTTGATCTGACCTTAGAGTCCGTAGTTTACAGTGTGGACTCTTTGCTGCAAGCGACAGAAGCTTCACACCTGTGTCCTGCAGATTGTTGTCACTCAGGTCCAGTTCTTTGAGACTATAGCAGTCGGTTTTGAGAACTGGGGACAAAGCTTCACAACTTCTTTCTGAAAGGTTACAACCTCTAAGTCTAAGGAAAAACAAACAAACAAGAAGACAAAAAAAACCTGGTGATAAAGTGTATTCATGAGACAAGATCTGAGATTATCCAGTATTTCTAATAGCAGGACTGGCTGGAATTCTTACAGACATAATATTAAACAGTGACTTCTACTCCATTACTAAAAATTCAAAGGTAGCATTTTTTGGAAGAAGTCAATTTATTTAGCACATTTAATTAGCAACAATTATTACTGTTTATTGTTGTTGCTTGTTAAAAAACAAAATATGACTTGATCTGACCTGAGAGATTCCAGTTTACAATGTGGAATCTCCACTCCAAGAGACAGAAACTTCACTCCTGAATCTTGCAGGTTATTATTGTTCAGGTTCAGCTCTCTCACATTAGAGGACTGGGATCTGAGAACTGAGGACAGAGCTTCACAGCTTCTCTCGGAAAGGTTACAGCCACTCAATCTGAAAAAAAAAACAAAACCCCAAAACAAACAATGATATTACTACTGGTCACTAACTTATTCTGTTACTAGTCAACAGTAATCATAGGTTAAATATAAATATAGACTAGAACATATTCCCAGGTGTGCATGAGGTCCGCCCTGAGTTCCTGAAGGCTCTGGATGTTGTAGGGCTGTCCTGGCTGACACGCCTCTGCAATGTGGAGATCAGGGGCAGTACCCCTGGACTGGCAGACCGGGGTGGTGGTCCCTATTTTTAAGAAGGGGGACTGGAGGGTGTGTTCCAACTACAGGGGGCTCACACTCCTCAGCCTCCCTGGGAAAGTCTATGCCAGGGTGCTGGAGAGGAGAGTCCATCCGCTAGTCAAACCATCAGGGACAATCCCTACAGTGACCATCACTGAAACCAACCAGCTGATGTACACTACAACAAAACTGATCATCCTGACCAGTAGGGATGGGTACCGGTATCCGGTGCCATTATGGCACCAGTTCTGTGCTTCGGTGCTTTTTTTTTACTGAGATGTCATACACTTTGGATTCTAGCCAATCATTTTACCTTTGCAAGCGTAGTAGGCGAGCCCAGGTACGTACATTCTTTTAGAGCAGAAATACAGATTAAACACGCCCAAGGCAAAGCAGTCAAAGTCTGGCTGTACTTCACAGCAAAAGATGCAAACTCAGCAGCCAGCAACAAGTGCTTTAAGGTGATACTGTGCAAAAGAAGCACGTACAAATTCCAAAGCACGTACAAACTCCAAAAAACATTTCTAGCATTAACTGAACTTCCAAAACAGAGCTACCTAGAATTAAATTACACAGTTGAAAGCATATGTGTATTGTTTGTGTACTTATACACAAGCATACATATATATTAAAATAATTTTAAAAAATGTTCATTTACCTGTTACTACCACACACCAAATCCGGTCGTTGGTACTTGCTGGCTTGTGTAGCCACTAAGTAACAACAGCTCAACACTGGGCCTAGCATTCTGGAGCACTTCTTTTGTCTTTTGTACGTGTTTTGGAGTTTGTACGTGCTTCGGCGTTTGTACGTGCTATGGACTTTTTACGTGTTTTGGAGTTTTTACATGTTTTGGAGTTTGTACGTGCTTCAGGGTTTGTACGTGCTCCAGAGTTCGTACGTGTTTTGAAGTTTGTATGGGCTTTGTCTCTAGGGGCCACCGTAAATATACTTTTATTTATTCACTCCACATAAAATGTAATAAATAAATGATATAATACAAAAACCAACTATTCACATTTCAACTTTTAGCTATTTAAATTTTCAGCTTTTTCCTTTAAAACAAATTTAAAGTGAAGCAACGCAAAACACTGCAAACCACAACACAATTAAATATAAATTTAAATATGAAAACAAAAAGAAGATGCACATTCTCTGTCATATGGGCCTGCACGAATAAACTTCTAATGTGACGTTGTTGTCCCTGGCTCTCTTTCTCTCTCTTTCCCTCCCGCTCTGTTCCTGTGCTACTGCGAGTGTAACTACCGCCCCTCCCCCCTCTTCCCAGCGTAAAGCACAAGGCTCGCATGCGGAGTGAAGCGGAAAAAAGTGCGACAGAGAGGGTGAGAGAAAGAAAAAGAAAAAAACCCACGGCTCGCGATAAGGAGCCGGCTCCCGTCGTTCACGTCAAAGATCCAGCTCTAAGAGCCGTTTCGTTCGCAACAGACACATCACTACTGAATACGCTGCAACTGGAATGTGAACTTCACAGAGAAACTGCCTTAGAACTGTAGAAAAGTGTGACAAAGACAAGGAAGCAGCTAATAAGCACAACAAGCTGTCTATATCTCAGACCATGCCAAGCAAAGACCAAAAACTTTGGTTAACCGCTTGAAGAAGTATACCAGAGATATTGAAGCCAGGAGAATAAATCAAATTTGATCAAATATTCTCCACTTAACCATCTACGGTGTAATCTCAGGGGCGGGAGAAGTGAGGGGTCACTAGGAAACCTGCAATCACCAAATACCTGCAGAGAGTAAGTCACTGGAATCAAAACAAGAAAGCTTCATAACATGCATGGAGGATTTTACCATACATGGGAAGCCATAACCAAGTGGCCAGCATAGTATACAGGAACACCTGTCGGGAATAGAGCCTAGAATTTCCAAGGCTGAAATCCAAATTGCACCCACGGTTGGTTGACAATGACCGAGATAAAATCATACCAAAATTGTGCATACTGGTTACATTTTATATCACCTGACAAATCAAAATGGATTAATGTGTGAAGATATAGCCCTGTGGCTGAATAAAATCGCTGATTCAATTAATCGATGGATCTCTCCAAGTTCGATTGCCAGTTAAATCATTATTTGTATTTATAGAAAGGCATAAGTACACATTTAATTACAGAGCTTTGTTGGAGGCTTGGACCACGGGCAGCAGCCTCAGAAGAGCCTCCTCTGAAGCAGAGTATTTCTTCAGGTCAAACACATCCAGATCTTTTTCTGATGACAGTAAGTTAAAGACCAGAGCTGACCACTGAGCAGGAGACAGTTTGTCTGTGGAGAGACTTCCTGAACTCAGGGACTGTTGGATCTCCTCTACTAGAGAACGATCATCCAGTTCATTCAGGCAGTGGAACAGATTGATGCTTTTCTCTGCGGTCAGATTCTCACTGAGCTTATTCTTGATGTACTGGACTGTTTCCTGATTGGTCTGTGAGCTACTTCCTTTCTGTGTCAGCAGGCCTTGTAGGAGAGTCTGATTCGTCTGCAGTGAAAGACCCAGGAGGAAGCGGAGGAACAAGTCTAGGTGTCCATTTAGACTCCGTAAGGCCTTGTCCACAGCACTCTGGTAGAAATGTTTCACTGCAGAGTCTCTTGTTTCAGGTATCTGAAAAGTTGTTTGTTGTTCCTCTTGCAGCAGATTGAGTCCAAAGTTGATGAAGGTCAGATGCACATGAAGAGCAGCCAGAAACTCCTGAACACTCAGATGGATGAAGCAGAACACCTTGTCCTGGTACAGTCCTCTCTCCTCTTTAAAGATCTGTGTGAACACTCCTGAGTAAACTGAGGCTGCTCTGATATCGATGCCACACTCTGTCAGGTCTGATTCATAGAAGTTCAGGTTTCCTTTCTGCAGCTGATCAAAAGCCAGTTTTCCCAGTGACTCCATCATCTTCCTGCTCTCAGGACTCCAGTGTGGATCTGTCTCAGCGCCTCCATCATACTTGACCTTCTTCACTTTGGCCTGAACCGCCAGGAAGTGGATGTACATGTCAGTCAAGGTCAGGGTAAACTTTCCACCCTCTCTGGTTTCCAGCACATCCTCCAGAACTGTAGCAGTGATCCAGCAGAAGACTGGGATGCAACACATGATGTGGAGGCTTCGTGATGTCTTTATGTGGGCGATGACCCTGCTGGCCTTCATCTCATTGCTGAATCTCTTCAGGAAGTACTCCTCCATCTGTGGGTCAGTGAACCCTCTGACCTCTGTTACCATGTCAATATATGCAAGAGGGATCTGATTGGCTGCTGCAGGTCGTGTGGTTATCCAGAGGCGAGCAGAGGGAAGCAGGTTCCCCCTGATGATGTTTATCAGCAGCACATCCACTGAGGTGGACTTTCTAGGGTCACTTAGGATTGTAGTTTTGTGGAAGTCCAGAGGAAGACGACACTCATCCAGACCATCAAAGATGAACACAACCTGGAAGTCTTCAAAGCTGCAGATTCCTGCTTCTTTGGTGTCAGTAAAGAAGCGATGAACAAGTCCCACCAAGCTGAACTTTTCCTCTTTCACCACATTCAGCTCTCTGAAAGTGAATGGAAATATGAACTGGATGTCCTGGTTGGCTTTGTCTTCAGCCCAGTCCAGGGTGTATTTCTGTGTTAGGACTGTTTTCCCAATGCCAGCCACTCCCTTTGTCAGCACTGTTCTGATTGGTTCATCTCTTCCAGGTGAGGCTTTAAAGATGTCTTCTTGTCTGATTGTTGTTTCTGGTCTGGCAGGTTTCCTGAATGCTTTTTCAATCTGTCTGACCTCATGTTCATCATTGACCTCTGCAGTCCCTCCCTCTGTGATGTAGAGCTCTGTGTAGATCTGATTCAGAAGGGTTGGGTTCCCTGCTTTAGCGATCCCCTCAAACACACACTGGAACTTCTTCTTCAGATTAGATTTAAGTGTAGATTGACAAATTCCACTCAAAGTTCCTAAAAGAATAAAGAAATAAAAATATCAATGAAGTGCACATGATAATTTGATTTCTGTCAAGAAGGACTGAATACATCTTGGTCATCTAAGTAAGTAAGTAAAATTTATTTATATAGCACATTTTCACAGATAAAAATCACAAAGTGCTTCACAATAAGATCAGACATACAAGTTAAAATTAATTAAAAGCCCGTTTGTATAAAAATGTCTTCAGCTGCTTTTTAAAGGAGTCAGTAGAGTCTAGACAGCGTAAAGACAACGGCAGAGATTTCCACAGCCTGGGTGCCAGTGCCTGAAAAGCCTGATCCCCACGTGTTTTAAACCTAGTACATGGGACCACCAGTAGCCTCTGACCTGAAGACCTAAGTGCTCGGGATGAAGCATGAGGTTTCAACAGGTCAGAGATATACTGGGGAGCTTCACCACGCAGAGCTCTAAAAGTTACAACTAAAATTTTAAAATGAACCCTAAAATTTACTGGCAACCAATGAAGAGAAGCCAAAACTGGAGTAATGTGTAACCTCTTGTTTGTACCAGTTAAAAGTCTTGCCCCAGCATTCTGTACAGACTGAAGGCGATCCAGAGCTGATTTGTTGAGACACGTAAAAAGACCGTTACAATAATCCAAACGAGAAGAGATAAAAGCATGAAGAATTATCTCAAGTTCTGCCTTTGACACCAGTAGTCTGAGTTTAGAAATGTTTCTTAGATGATAAAAACAGTTCCGGACAAGTTGTTTAGAGTGTACCTCAAGAGACATTGAACTGTCAATTATAACACCTAAGTTTCTGAGACTCGACTGAAATGAAGGGTCTAAAAAACTGATATGCTGCCTAATTTCTGAGAGCATGTGATCCGGTGCAATAATCAAAGTTTCTGTTTTATCTGCATTTAACTGAAGGAAATTGTCATTTAACCATTGTTTGATTTCTGACAGACAATTATTTAAACAAGACAATTTATAAAACTCAGAAGTTTTGAAAGAACATTATAACTGAATGTCATCAGCATAGAGATGATAAGAAATATTATTGTAACATCTGATAATCTGGCCTAGAGGGAGTATATACAGCAAAGAGAGAATAGGACCTAAAACAGATCCTTGAGGTACCCCAGAAGGCAGAACTGATGTTTCCGACAACACATGATTCATACAGACAGTAAAGGATCTCTCAGATAGATACGACATAAACCATTTTAAAACAACAGCAAACAAGTCCTTCAGCCTATTTATCATGATGCTGTGATCAACAGTATCAAAAGCAGAGCTGAGATCCAACATAACCAGAATGGTGTACTCTCCAGTGTCTGCTGCCATCAGAATGTCACTAGACACTATACTGCAAAACTAACTACACTATCACTGTTTGGGGACTGCACTCATGTACTATTTTGCCCCATTTAGCAAATCTGGCACCAAATCTTTAGAGAAATCTTCTTACTGCTCTGCAGACGATTAGCCAGCTCCTCCTGGTTCATTCTCCTCAGGAAGTTAAGTGTGATCTTCTCAAATGCCTCTCTGTTGCTCTTCCTCTGCTCATCATCCTCTGTCTGACTCTGTAACCATTCTGGGTAATCTGGACTCAGAACCTTCTGGATCTTCTTCAGCTCGTTCTTCACAAAAGTGATGATGTTGTCCTCCAGCAGCTGGAACAGAATACTTTATGAATGACCCAATCAGACTGAAATCATGGAGCCAAACATCAGATCCATGTTGGACACACTGACAATCCACTGGTCTACAAAGAGCAGCATGGAGATGACTGTGAACAGAATAGATGTAAAAAGTAGTTGTTGTACATGTACAGACCTTAAATATGAAGTCCAGGTGTGTTTGATGCTGCTGGACAAACTGACCACTGTGAACCTCTGAGCTCTGCTGGTCCACTCTGTGGAGGAATCATGAAGAATTAGGTCAAGCCTGAATTTCCCTGGAGATGGTAAAATTTAACGGTCTTGCAAATTGACCGAATTAAGAGCTCAGCTTAGTGTTTTTCTGTGAGACTGAATGGCAGTTTTGAGTTTTAGGGTCAGCACTCGGAGAAATTAATCTCAGTCAGTGGAAGTATTTCAGGGTTTAAACTGAATCTCACTTTTAAAAAATTAGATAGCTTTATTCAGGGTGTTTGAGTTCCTTACTTATGTCCAATAGGCTGACACTTCCTTGAACGGAAAGTATATTTTCCTATCTGGTCACTGTTCACGGACAAAGATGGATTCCATGAGTGTTTTACGTTTCCAGCTTTCACTAACCAACCTGCATTGTATACAGTAGTCACTAAAACATTCACATGTGTGTAACAAGATGCTTGATATGGAAGTTGATATGGATGCTTTTATTTTGCTTCTTTATTATAACTTTGGCTTTTAGAAGGCCTTTCTGACTTTTCTTTTTAAGTTTCAGTTCAGTCCTTGAACCATCGGGGGTGGTTAGGCTACTTAACACTGACCTATTAAAAAAAGCGCCAAACTCAATGGATGAACAAGTGTTGTGCCTACACAAAGAACCAATTTTAACTTGTATCTCTGAGAATGTTGTTACTAGCACCCTGATTTAAATACACATAAAACACAAAAACATATAAAATGGCATTTTCGTGCCAACAAGGTGATCCCAAAGGGTTATTAGCTGAAAACTTGGCATCTTATACTTACATCAGAAATAGGAAAGTCTCTCCAGCAAAGACAACATCCAACATTTCTAACTACATCAAGCAGTTAATCACCTCTCAAAGAGTTTATGTTACTAATAGCTCACCTCTCTGCAGCAGACGACTGCAGTCCTTTAAAATCAATACGGTCATATTTAGACTGGTCACTCTTTACGGACACACAGCTGGGTCCAGGTTCACGTCCAGCAGGTCTCTCCTTGATCCTGCTGGAGAGGAAAAGTTGTGTTTTTCATTTGCAGCCAGAGAAGCTGATGAAGAATTAGAATATCTTCATCATCCCAAAGAGAAACAGGTTTTCAGGATGAGCATGAGCAGAAGGAAACTCCAAGCTAGTGTTGGCAGTGTAAGAACAGAGCGCCACCCAGAGGTAAACACAGTCATTTACACTGTGCAGGACTATTGATGAATGTACATGTTGGATACGTTTTATAGAATAAATAAATTCCTCGCTCAGTGACTTCCTTTGAGTGGAGATAATTGATCTGCATTTCAGGAGTGGGACACATCTCATAGACTCCCCCTCTGGTCCTCAGTCTATATATACAAATCCTGCCTCAATCTGGCTCTACGATTTGGTGGGACTGGCCTTTGACAGTAGAGCTCATCAGCCTTTCCCAAGAAACTATTTAAACTATTTAAACCCTATCACTAACGGTTTAACTGAAATTAAACAGTTTGATGAGTAGCAGCTATTTGAGGGATTTCTTAAAAACAGTAATGGCTTTATTCCATGTAAGAAACAACTCATCTCACAATTAAAGTCACTTTCCAACCTGCATTGTATTCAATAGTCACTAAAACATTCAACGTACTAGCCATACATCTGATAAAACATTGTCAAAGAATTATTTAAGCCTGGACTGAACACTTATTTTATCCAGTATTAGTATTCAGTAGTATACTACAGTTCCAATAAACTCCACCAATTTAATGTCTAAGATGAAGAGGAGCAGAAACATGCACTGGTATCCTGGATGTTTGACCTGTTTTTCTGATAATTAACTGGAAAAAAACTTCATGAAATGCATTCTGGGTAAACTTTAAAACTGGCCATACCACTACGTGGGACAAGTTGATGCTCAAAACAGGTTAGAAGATATCTCAAGTGTCATTTTTACATACATGTTGATGTCAGGCTCATCTTGTACCCATGATTTTTTGCATCAAAATAAGTTTGTAATTTTAACTCACTAATTGATGAAGCCCTTTTATTTTGTCACTTGCAGTTACCTGCAGCGAAATTGGACTGACAACTAAGAACTGTCAGTGCTTGCTGAAGAATTTTTATGCTCTCATAGTTTTCAGCTCTTGTTTTGTCAGTTTGCACTGTTGTAATGGTTTGCTTGCGTATTTAAAGTTTATTGAAGTAAATCCTTTCTCCTCAGGTATGAGCCAGGTGGTTCTCCTCCTTATGGGATTTTACCTTTAATTAAATAAGTTACCTCATAAACTACACTAAGGATGCAAGTAAAACTTAACATCCTAAATGTGAAATTAAAACCTAGTATCAGTTTCTGTCAATAACACTAAAGAGTATGCTCAAACTTTTTAGTGTTATTGACAGACAACAAAAACACATTAAAGAGGATAAGGCTCTGATAAGGTTAAGCGGGAGAGAATGGATGGTCTCCAGGTGTGCAAAGCTTGTAGAGATTTATCGCAACAACTTTTGTAGCTTTGATTTGCTTTAACTGCAAATCAAGGGTGGTTCAATAAAAGTACTGATTCAGGGATGGGGGGCTGCATACATCCTGTATGCATTCGACACTTTTTACATTTGTATTTGTATAAAAATGGATTTTAATTTACGCATTCATTTCTGTTGATGTACAACATAAAATCCCAGTGAAATATACTTAAGTTTGTGTTTGTACAATATGGAAAGGTTCAAGGGTATGACTACTTTTACAAGGCACTGTGAGTGAGAAAGAGCCATGTCAATTGTTGTTTTTGTTTAGTTTGTTTTCCTTTGCAGAATCTGGAAATATTTGTAAAACTATCAATTAACACAAAGCTCTACATTAGTAGCCGTGTACTGGGCAGTGCAGAACTGTGGTTCACAAAGAATGCATTCAAGTGCACCATTTAGTGTAGGTCACCTTAGCTCAGCTCACAGTCAGTGTAGGTACAAGTGTGTAACAAGTAGAGATGGACCGATCCGATATTACGTATCGGTATCGGTCCAATACTGACCTAAATTACTGGATCGGATATCGGAGAAAAATAAAAAATGTAATCCGATCCATTAAATATCACGAAAGCACCTCGCAAAACTTGTAACACGCCGTAACTCACCTCAGAACGTTAGCACGTCGGAGCAATATGCATCACGTGATAGAGCGGCTGTGGCATGCGGGACCTGTCGGTGGTCTGGATAGCATGTGGAGCTTCGCTAGCAACCTGGCATTTCATCTCCGACAAAGTTATCCCCGAGAGAAGTAAAGCAAGTGTGTAAGTCCATCTCTGAATGTTTGTAAAGCATTCCCACGTTAAGCTTAACAAGCGACTGCCTCTTCTTGCTACTACTTCAATCATGAAACTGCTTAATGATCAGCTGATCGGCTTTTCTGTCTCGAGTCCGTCTCTCTTGTTTGTTTTTGGCCCACTTTGCACCAGAAAGAGGAAACCAGCGGCTGAACAACAGCAGCACGTTTAAGCTTGATAAGCTGTTGTTAGAATTTATTAATTATTACTTTCTACTCTTGGATCTTTTTCTACGTAGCTGACGGCTGGTAACTGTGCAGGGGCGGATCTAGCAAAGTTTAGCCAGGGGGGCCGATAGGGCATTAACAGGGGGAAAGGGGGCACAAAGACATACTTTTCTTTCTTATTCTCATTTAAAATGTCTAGCTTTTAATAAATAATTGTGCAGTCTGCAATTTTGTTGAAGAAAGATGTTGAATCTATTTAATATTTCTTGAAAAATAATTGATTTCTGTGCATTTTTTTCACACTGCATCAAATTAAGGTTGATTACGTCGATTAAGCATCATGAGGAGGCGCGTGAGGGGTGGTTCCCTAATTTTTATTTATTTATTTTTGTTGTTGCTGGGAGTTGGAACCCTATTAGTTAGGTTGCTTAATATTTACGCTAAGTACTCTTTAAAATACCAGAATAGGGAGGATGGTGTAGGTTTAAGTTTATTAGATTGATCAGTATTGCTGAACTATGAAATATTTTTTTTGTATACAGGTATAACAGAATAGCTTTAGTGTAGTTGTTGTTTTAAACTTGAGTATGAACTTGCAGACTTGCAAAATGCAGCAAGATATTTAAAAAAAACAGTTTTGTTGATTAAAAAACACTATATCGGATTCATATCGGTATCGGCAGATATCCAAATTTATGATATCGTATCGGACATCAAAAAGTGGTATCGTGCCATCTCTAGTAACATGATGCTTGATATGGATGCTTTTATTTTGCTTCTTTATTATAACTTTGGCTTTTAGAAGGCCTTTCTGACTTTTCTTTTTAAGTTTCAGTTCAGTCCTTGAACCATCGGGGGTGGTTAGGCTACTTAACACTGACCTATTAAAAAAAGCGCCAAACTCAATGGATGAACAAGTGTTGTGCCTACACAAAGAACCAATTTTAACTTGTATCTCTGAGAATGTTGTTACTAGCACCCTGATTTAAATACACATAAAACACAAAAACATATAAAATGGCATTTTCGTGCCAACAAGGTGATCCCAAAGGCTTATTAGCTGAAAACTTGGCATCTTATACTTACATCAGAAATAGGAAAGTCTCTCCAGCAAAGACAACATCCAACATTTCTAACTACATCAAGCAGTTAATCACCTCTCAAAGAGTTTATGTTACTAACAGCTCACCTCTCTGCAGCAGACGACTGCAGTCCTTTAAAATCAATACGGTCATATTTAGACTGGTCACTCTTTACGGACACACAGCTGGGTCCAGGTTCACGTCCAGCAGGTCTCTCCTTGATCCTGCTGGAGAGGAAAAGTTGTGTTTTTCATTTGCAGCCAGAGAAGCTGATGAAGAATTAGAATATCTTCATCATCCCAAAGAGAAACAGGTTTTCAGGATGAGCATGAGCAGAAGGAAACTCCAAGCTAGTGTTGGCAGTGTAAGAACAGAGCGCCACCCAGAGGTAAACACAGTCATTTACACTGTGCAGGACTATTGATGAATGTACATGTTGGATACGTTTTATAGAATAAATAAATTCCTCGCTCAGTGACTTCCTTTGAGTGGAGATAATTGATCTGCATTTCAGGAGTGGGACACATCTCATAGACTCCCCCTCTGGTCCTCAGTCTATATATACAAATCCAGCCTCAATCTGGCTCTACGATTTGGTGGGACTGGCCTTTGACAGTAGAGCTCATCAGCCTTTCCCAAGAAACTATTTAAACTATTTAAACCCTATCACTAATGGTTTAACTGAAATTAAACAGTTTGATGAGTAGCAGCTATTTGAGGGATTACTTAAAAACAGTAATGGCTTTATTCCATGTAAGAAACAACTCATCTCACAATTAAAGTCACTTTCCAACCTGCATTGTATTCAATAGTCACTAAAACATTCAACGTACTAGCCATATATCTGATAAAACATTGTCAAAGAATTATTTAAGCCTGGACTGAACACTTATTTTATCCAGTATTAGTATTCAGTAGTATACTACAGTTCCAATAAACTCCACCAATTTAATGTCTAAGATGAAGAGGAGCAGAAACATGCACTGGTATCCTGGATGTTTGACCTTTTTTTCTGATAATTAACTGGAAAAAAACTTCATGAAATGCATTCTGGGTAAACTTTAAAACTGGCCATACCACTACGTGGGACAAGTTGATGCTCAAAACAGGTTAGAAGATATCTCAAGTGTCATTTTTACATACATGTTGATGTCAGGCTCATCTTGTACCCATGATTTTTTGCATCAAAATAAGTTTGTAATTTTAACTCACTAATTGATGAAGCCCTTTTATTTTGTCACTTGCAGTTACCTGCTGCGAAATTGGACTGACAACTAAGAACTGTCAGTGCTTGCTGAAGAATTTTTATGCTCTCATAGTTTTCAGCTCTTGTTTTGTCAGTTTGCACTGTTGTAATGGTTTGCTTGGGTATTTAAAGTTTATTGAAGTAAATCCTTTCTCCTCAGGTATGAGCCAGGTGGTTCTCCTCCTTATGGGATTTTACCTTTAATTAAATAAGTTACCTCATAAACTACACTAAGGATGCAAGTAAAACTTAACATCCTAAATGTGAAATTAAAACCTAGTATCAGTTTCTGTCAATAACACTAAAGAGTATGCTCAAACTTTTTAGTGTTATTGACAGACAACAAAAACACATTAAAGAGGATAAGGCTCTGATAAGGTTAAGCGGGAGAGAATGGATGGTCTCCAGGTGTGCAAAGCTTGTAGAGATTTATCGCAACAACTTTTGTAGCTTTGATTTGCTTTAACTGCAAATCAAGGGTGGTTCAATAAAAGTACTGATTCAGGGATGGGGGGCTGCATACATCCTGTATGCATTCGACACTTTTTACATTTGTATTTGTATAAAAATGGATTTTAATTTACGCATTCATTTCTGTTGATGTACAACATAAAATCCCAGTGAAATATACTTAAGTTTGTGTTTGTACAATATGGAAAGGTTCAAGGGTATGACTACTTTTACAAGGCACTGTGAGTGAGAAAGAGCCATGTCAATTGTTGTTTTTGTTTAGTTTGTTTTCCTTTGCAGAATCTGGAAATATTCATAAAACTATCAATTAACACAAAGCTCTACATTAGTAGCCGTGTACTGGGCAGTGCAGAACTGTGGTTCACAAAGAATGCATTCAAGTGCACCATTTAGTGTAGGTCACCTGTGTTTTAGCTCAGCTCACAGTCAGTGTAGGTACAAGTGTGTAACAAGTAGAGATGGACCGATCCGATATTACGTATCGGTATCGGTCCGATACTGACCTAAATTACTGGATCGGATATCGGAGAAAAATAAAAAATGTAATCCGATCCATTAAATATCATGAAAGCACCTCACAAAACTTGCAACATGCCGTAACTCGCCTCAGAACGTTAGCACGTCGGAGCAATATGCATCACGTGATAGAGCGGCTGTGGCATGCGGGACCTGTCGGTGGTCTGGATAGCATGTGGAGCTTCGCTAGCAACCTGGCATTTCATCTTCGACAAAGTTATCCCCGAGAGAAGTAAAGCAAGTGTGTAAGTCCATCTCTGAATGTTTGTAAAGCATTCCCACGTTAAGCTTAACAAGCGACTGCCTCTTCTTGCTGCTACTTCAATCGTGAAACTGCTCAATGATCAGCTGATCGGCTTTTCTGTCACGAGTCCGTCTCTCTTGTTTGTTTTTGGCCCACTTTGCACCAGAAAGAGGAAACCAGCGGCTGAACAACAGCAGCACGTTTAAGCTTGATAAGCTGTTGTTAGAATTTATTAATTATTACTTTCTACACCAGGATCTTTTTCTACGTAGCTGACGCTGGTAACTGTGCAGGGGCGGATCTAGCAAAGTTTAGCCAGGGGGGCCGATAGGGCATTAACAGGGGAAAAGGGGGCACAAAGACATACTTTTCTTTCTTATTCTCATTTAAAATGTCGAGCTTTTAATAAATAATTGTGCAGTCTGCAATTTTGTTGAAGAAAGATGTTGAATCTATTTAATATTTCTTGAAAAATAATTGATTTCTGTGCATTTTTTTTCACACTGCATCAATTAAGGGTTGATTACGTCGATTAAGCATCATGAGGTGGCGCGTGAGGGGTGGTTCCCTATTTTTTATTTATTTATTTTTGTTGTTGCTGGGAGTTGGAACCCTATTAGTTAGGTTGCTTAATATTTACGCTAAGTACTCTTTAAAATACCAGAATAGGGAGGATGGTGTAGGTCTAAGTTTATTAGATTGATCAGTATTGCTGAACTATGAAATATTTTTTTTGTATACAGGTATAACAGAATAGCTTTAGTGTAGTTGTTGTTTTAAACTTGAGTATGAACTTGCAGACTTGCAAAATGCAGCAAGATATTTAAAAAAACAGTTTTGTTGATTAAAAAACACTATATCGGATTCATATCGGTATCGGCAGATATCCAAATTTATGATATCGGTATCGGTATCGGACATCAAAAAGTGGTATCGTGCCATCTCTAGTAACAAGATGCTTGATATGGATGCTTTTATTTTGCTTCTTTATTATAACTTTGGCTTTTAGAAGGCCTTTCTGACTTTTCTTTTTAAGTTTCAGTTCAGTCCTTGAACCATCGGGGGTGGTTAGGCTACTTAACACTGACCTATTAAAAAAAGCGCCAAACTCAATGGATGAACAAGTGTTGTGCCTACACAAAGAACCAATTTTAACTTGTATCTCTGAGAATGTTGTTACTAGCACCCTGATTTAAATACACATAAAACACAAAAACATATAAAATGGCATTTTCGTGCCAACAAGGTGATCCCAAAGGGTTATTAGCTGAAAACTTGGCATCTTATACTTACATCAGAAATAGGAAAGTCTCTCCAGCAAAGACAACATCCAACATTTCTAACTACATCAAGCAGTTAATCACCTCTCAAAGAGTTTATGTTACTAACAGCTCACCTCTCTGCAGCAGACGACTGCAGTCCTTTAAAATCAATACGGTCATATTTAGACTGGTCACTCTTTACGGACACACAGCTGGGTCCAGGTTCACGTCCAGCAGGTCTCTCCTTGATCCTGCTGGAGAGGAAAAGTTGTGTTTTTCATTTGCAGCCAGAGAAGCTGATGAAGAATTAGAATATCTTCATCATCCCAAAGAGAAACAGGTTTTCAGGATGAGCATGAGCAGAAGGAAACTCCAAGCTAGTGTTGGCAGTGTAAGAACAGAGCGCCACCCAGAGGTAAACACAGTCATTTACACTGTGCAGGACTATTGATGAATGTACATGTTGGATACGTTTTATAGAATAAATAAATTCCTCGCTCAGTGACTTCCTTTGAGTGGAGATAATTGATCTGCATTTCAGGAGTGGGACACATCTCATAGACTCCCCTCTGGTCCTCAGTCTATATATACAAATCCTGCCTCAATCTGGCTCTACGATTTGGTGGGACTGGCCTTTGACAGTAGAGCTCATCAGCCTTTCCCAAGAAACTATTTAAACTATTTAAAACCTATCACTAACGGTTTAACTGAAATTAAACAGTTTGATGAGTAGCAGCTATTTGAGGGATTTCTTAAAAACAGTAATGGCTTTATTCCATGTAAGAAACAACTCATCTCACAATTAAAGTCACTTTCCAACCTGCATTGTATACAATAGTCACTAAAACATTCAACGTACTAGCCATATATCTGATAAAACATTGTCAAAGAATTATTTAAGCCTGGACTGAACACTTATTTTATCCAGTATTAGTATTCAGTAGTATACTACAGTTCCAATAAACTCCACCAATTTAATGTCTAAGATGAAGAGGAGCAGAAACATGCACTGGTATCCTGGATGTTTGACCTGTTTTTCTGATAATTAACTGGAAAAAAACTTCATGAAATGCATTCTGGGTAAACTTTAAAACTGGCCATACCACTACGTGGGACAAGTTGATGCTCAAAACAGGTTAGAAGATATCTCAAGTGTCATTTTTACATACATGTTGATGTCAGGCTCATCTTGTACCCATGATTTTTTGCATCAAAATAAGTTTGTAATTTTAACTCACTAATTGATGAAGCCCTTTTATTTTGTCACTTGCAGTTACCTGCAGCGAAATTGGACTGACAACTAAGAACTGTCAGTGCTTGCTGAAGAATTTTTATGCTCTCATAGTTTTCAGCTCTTGTTTTGTCAGTTTGCACTGTTGTAATGGTTTGCTTGGGTATTTAAAGTTTATTGAAGTAAATCCTTTCTCCTCAGGTATGAGCCAGGTGGTTCTCCTCCTTATGGGATTTTACCTTTAATTAAATAAGTCTGTGAAGGTTCTCAGTCATACTTTAATTAAATAAGTTACCTCATAAACTACACTAAGGATGCAAGTAAAACTTAACATCCTAAATGTGAAATTAAAACCTAGTATCAGTTTCTGTCAATAACACTAAAGAGTATGCTCAAACTTTTTAGTGTTATTGACAGACAACAAAAACACATTAAAGAGGATAAGGCTCTGATAAGGTTAAGCGGGAGAGAATGGATGGTCTCCAGGTGTGCAAAGCTTGTAGAGATTTATCGCAACAACTTTTGTAGCTTTGATTTGCTTTAACTGCAAATCAAGGGTGGTTCAATAAAAGTACTGATTCAGGGATGGGGGGCTGCATACATCCTGTATGCATTCGACACTTTTTACATTTGTATTTGTATAAAAATGGATTTTAATTTACGCATTCATTTCTGTTGATGTACAACATAAAATCCCAGTGAAATATACTTAAGTTTGTGTTTGTACAATATGGAAAGGTTCAAGGGTATGACTACTTTTACAAGGCACTGTGAGTGAGAAAGAGCCATGTCAATTGTTGTTTTTGTTTAGTTTGTTTTCCTTTGCAGAATCTGGAAATATTTGTAAAACTATCAATTAACACAAAGCTCTACATTAGTAGCCGTGTACTGGGCAGTGCAGAACTGTGGTTCACAAAGAATGCATTCAAGTGCACCATTTAGTGTAGGTCACCTTAGCTCAGCTCACAGTCAGTGTAGGTACAAGTGTGTAACAAGTAGAGATGGACCGATCCGATATTACGTATCGGTATCGGTCCGATACTGACCTAAATTACTGGATCGGATATTGGAGAAAAATAAAAAATGTAATCCGATCCATTAAATATCACGAAAGCACCTCACAAAACTTGCAACACGCCGTAACTCACCTCAGAACGTTAGCACGTCGGAGCAGTATGCATCACGTGATAGAGCGGCTGTGGCATGCGGGACCTGTCGGTGGTCTGGATAGCATGTGGAGCTTCGCTAGCAACCTGGCATTTCATCTCCGACAAAGTTATCCCCGAGAGAAGTAAAGCAAGTGTGTAAGTCCATCTCTGAATGTGTCACGGTCCTGGGTCTCCTGACCCAGCGTTTTTAGTTCTTTGTGATTTTTGTATTATTGTACTTGTGTGTGATTTATTCTATGGCTTCTAGTTTTGATCCCTTGCCCTTCATGTCTCTCTGTGTCCCCTCTGTTCTGTGTAATTGTGTGTCTTTGCATGTTTGAGTTTGTTTTCTGTCACTCTGCATTGTGCATTATGTTCTCATGGTTGGTCTTTTGTTACTCTCTCTAGTCTAGTCTCTTGTGTTCCCAGCTGAGTATTTCCCTGTGTATTTTGGTTCTTAGACCTCTGCCTTATGGTTTATGTCTCTGTATTTCTTAGTTGCTGTCTCCACTGTGTCAAGTTCGCGTCTCTGTGTGATACTTCCTGTTTTACTTTGATGGTCCGTGTCTCATGTGAATGCGTCCTGCTTTGCTTGTCTCGTCAGTCCTGATTTCTCCCAGCTGTGCCCTCCTTCCGTGTCTCATTCCCCTCGTTACTTCCCAGTGTATTTAAACCCTGTGTTTCTCTGAGTCAGTGTCGCGTCGTCCCTCATGCTGTGTGTGGATCTCCCTGTGAGTTCTTAGTTTATGGTTTCCCAGTTTAGTCTAGTTTTGTATGTTTGTTCTACCAGCAAATAAAGCTGTGTTTTGAGTTCACCTCCCCGAGTCTGTGAGTCCTGCATTTTGGGTCCAACTCCTGCCTGCCGCACAGCGATTCATGACAGTACGACGCAACCAGACATGGACCCAGCAGGCTCCTCCCGGGAAAGCGATTTGGCCCGCATCTTCAGCCTGTGGGAGCGAGTTTCCCATGCCTCGGACATTAAAGCAATGTCCATTGGGATAAACGCCATCGAGGCAATTCTCAAGGGGAATCCCCATCTTCGCGAGCTCTCAGGATTTTCGGGCCTACTGTCCAATCTGCAGAAAGCCAAGGAGACAGTACAAGCTCGCGAGCTCGTCATACCGCAACAGCGACCGCCACAATCGGGAAACGTTTCCACGCCGCTGCCACTGGACTCCTCTCCATCCACCCTCCACTCTGACTGTCACTCACCCACTGCTTTTCTCGCAGCAATGTGGTCGGAGGATGAGGAGCCGGCCGTGATCTCTCCGTCGTTGCCAGTTTCCTCCATCACCGCACCTCCGGCTTCCCGAAGAAAACGGCATTCACGCCGCCAACACCCACCGCCACAGCCAGACCCCGAGACGTCTGAGTTGCCAGCTGTGGTGAGTGGAAGGGACAATCAAGAGTTTCCTGACTTTGGGACTGTTTATTCCGGGGCTGTGTTTTTTCACTTAGCTGCCCAGCCAGAAGCGCTAGCTCCATCTCCTGTGTCCCCGCTAGCACAGCCATTAACTCCACCACACGCTCCATTTTCACCTCTACCATCGCTTCAGTCATCAGTTTGGTCTGCCACTCAGTCGCCCTTAGTTCCGTCATCCACACTACCACCTGTTTCCCTTCCACCACCACCATCACTACACCCAGCCATTCGGGCTGCTACTCAGTCAGACATTCAACCCATAGCCCTGCCGTTAATATGCTCTATAGCTGAGCCACTAGCCGCCCGACCCGCAGCCACTTCAGCCACTCCTCCACCCGTCACACCTCCACTACAACCATCACTGCAATCCCCAGTGCAGTCTCCAGTGTCCCCAGTGCAGCCTCCTGCAGCTCTGCTTTCCCCAGTGCAGTCTCCAGTGTCCCCAGTGCAGTCTCCAGTGTCCCCAGTGCAGTCTCCAGTGTCCCCAGTGCAGTCTCCAGTGTCCCCAGTACAGCATCCCTTAGCACAGTCATCCACTCAATCACCAGCTCCACTTTCCCCTCAACTATCACTACTACCTCTAGCTCAATCTCCTGTGCACTCACCTCTGGTTCATTCTCCTGTGAAGTCATCAACTCCCCTGCCTACTCCGCTCTCACCACCTCCGTTACAACAGACATCAGTTCAGTCCCCTGTGCCAGTGCAGACGCCCTCAGTTCAGTCTCCCGTGCAGTTATCTACTTCACCACCATCAGTAGCTCAGCTCCCACTCTCACCCGTGTCTCCAGTAGCTCAGCTCCCACTCTCACCCGTGTCTCCAGTAGCTCAGTTAGCTGCCCAGCAGCCTCTCTCTGCTCAGTCTCCTGTGTCGCCAGTTTTGCTCATTCACTCCATGCAGAGAGGTAACTTGATTTCTACTCAGGGTACTTTTCATGGTTTAGCCGCCGTTGGCACAGTTGGCCACTCCAGGGCTTCCCCAGAGGCTAGGTCTCAGTCCCCAGCTGATTCTGGACCCCTGAAGTTTAAGCAGCCCCCTAAGAACTGCACCATGTTCGCATTGCCTGGGCAGAGTCAGTGCTCAGTGCAGCGCCAGTTGTCCTCATGTCCGCCAGAGGACTTCATGCCTGTTGGCTTTGTTTTAGTCTCCGCTGGAGGGTCCGAGGGGCCCGTTCAGCCTCCCGTCTCCGCTGGAGGGTCCGAGGGGCCCGTTCAGCCTCCCGTCTCCGCTGGAGGGTCCGAGGGGCCCGTTCAGCCGCCCGTTCAGCCTCCTGTCTCCGCTGGAGGGTCCGAGGGGCCCGTTCAGCCTCCTGTCTCCGCTGGAGGGTCCGAGGGGCCCGTCCAGCCTCACGCCTCGTCAGCTGGAGGGTCCGAGGTGCCCGTCCAGCCTCACGCCTCGTCAGCTGGAGGGTCCGAGGGGCCCGTTCAGCCTCCTGTCTCCGCTGGAGGGTCCGAGGGGCCCGTTCAGCCTCCTGTCTCCGCTGGAGGGTCCGAGGGGCCCGTTCAGCCTCACGCCGCATCAGCTGGAGGGCCCGAGGAGCCTGTCCAGCCACCACCTGCGACCGCCTCGTCGTCGCCTGGTCCGGCTGCATCTGCCTGTGCTTCTGCTACGCCTGGGCCAGCCTCTGCCTGTGCTTCTGCTATGCCTGGGCCAGCCTCTGCCTGTGCTTCTGCTACGCCTGGTCCAGTCTCAGCCTCTGCAGTTCCGCCTGGTCCAGCCGCAGCCTCTGCAGTTCCGCCTGGTCCAGCCTCAGCCTCTGCGGCTCCGCCTGGTCCAGCCTCAGCCTCTGCGGCTCCGCCTGGTCCAGCCTCAGCCTCTTCGTCCTCGTCTGGCCCGGCCTCAGAGTCTTCGTCCTCATCTGGCCCGGCCTCAGAGTCTTCGTCCTCGTCTGGCCCAGCTTCGTCTTTGGCTTCTGTTTCGCTTGCTGCAGCCCCGTCGTCGCCTGGTCCGGCCCCGTCGTCGCCTGGTCCGGCCCCGTCGTCGCCTGGTCCTGCCTCGACTGGTCCTGTGCCCACCGGGCCATGGCCAGCATGCCTAACACTGGAGAGCCGCCGCTGCCTTCCGCGCGGTCGGCCTCCTGAACTGCTCCGTTGTCTCCTTCGCCGCCGCCGTTGCCTTGCGCACGGCCGGCCTCCTGAACTGTTTCCACGTCGCCGCCGTTGCCTTGCGCACGGCCGGCCTCCTGAACTGTTTCCACGTCTCCGCCGTTGCCTTGCGCACGGCCGGCCCCCTGAACTGCTCTGTGTTTGGGTTATTTTCTTGGGCTCCGGTGTTTGCTGTGCTCTTCTTTTGTTTTCTGTTCCGAGCCCTCCGTCCTGGGCCCCCGCCGCCCGCCCTGGGTTGTTTTCTGTTTGGTTTTGTTTTTCTGTGTTTGGGCTGTCTGGAGCCAGCCCTTGAGGGGGGGTACTGTCACGGTCCTGGGTCTCCTGACCCAGTGTTTTTAGTTCTTTGTGATTTTTGTATTATTGTGCTTGTGTGTGATTTATTCTATGGCTTCTAGTTTTGATCCCTTGCCCTTCATGTCTCTCTGTGTCCCCTCTGTTCTGTGTAATTGTGTGTCTTTGCATGTTTGAGTTTCTTGTTTTCTGTCACTCTGCATTGTGCATTATGTTCTCATGGTTGGTTTTTTGTTACTCTCTCTAGTCTAGTCTCTTGTGTTCCCAGCTGAGTATTTCCCTGTGTATTTTGGTTCTTAGACCTCTGCCTTATGGTTTATGTCTCTGTATTTCTTAGTTGCTGTCTCCACTGTGTCAAGTTCGTGTCTCTGTGTGATACTTCCTGTTTTACTTTGATGGTCCGTGTCTCATGTGAATGCGTCCTGCTTTGCTTGTCTCGTCAGTCCTGATTTCTCCCAGCTGTGCCCTCCTTCTGTGTCTCATTCCCCTCGTTACTTCCCAGTGTATTTAAACCCTGTGTTTCTCTGAGTCAGTGTCGCGTCGTCCCTCATGCTGTGTGTGGATCTCCCTGTGTGTTCTTAGTTTATGGTTTCCCAGTTTAGTCTAGTTTTGTATGTTTGTTCTACCAGCAAATAAAGCTGTGTTTTGAGTTCACCTCCCCGAGTCTGTGAGTCCTGCATTTTGGGTCCAACTCCTGCCTGCCGCACAGCGATTCATGACAGAATGTTTGTAAAGCATTCCCACGTTAAGCTTAACAAGCGACTGCCTCTCCTGCTGCTACTTCAATCATGAAACTGCTTAATGATCAGCTGATCGGCTTTTCTGTCGCGAGTCCGTCTCTCTTGTTTGTTTTTGGCCCACTCTGCACCAGAAAGAGGAAACCAGCGGCTGAACAACAGCAGCACGTTTAAGCTTGATAAGCTGTTGTTAGAATTTATTTAATATTACTTTCTACACCAGGATCTTTTTCTACGTAGCTGACGGCTGGTAACTGTGCAGGGGCGGATCTAGCAAAGTTTAGCCAGGGGGGCCGATAGGGCATTAACAGGGGAAAAGGGGGCACAAAGACATACTTTTCTTTCTTATTCTCATTTAAAATGTCGAGCTTTTAATAAATAATTGTGCAGTCTGCAATTTTGTTGAAGAAAGATGTTGAATCTATTTAATATTTCTTGAAAAATAATTGATTTCTGTGCATTTTTTTTCACACTGCATCAAATTAAGGTTGATTATGTTGATTAAGCATCATGAGGTGGAGCGTGAGGGGTGGTTCCCTATTTTTTATTTATTTATTTTTGTTGTTGCTGGGAGTTGGAACCCTATTAGTTAGGTTGCTTAATATTTACGCTAAGTACTCTTTAAAATACCAGAATAGGGAGGATGGTGTAGGTTTAAGTTTATTAGATTGATCAGTATTGCTGAACTATGAAAAAAATATTTATATACAGGTATAACAGAATAGCTTTAGTGTAGTTGTTGTTTTAAACTTGAGTATGAACTTGCAGACTTGCAAAATGCAGCAAGATATTTTAAAAAACAGTTTTGTTGATTAAAAAACACTATATCGGATTCATATCGGTATCGGCAGATATCCAAATTTATGATATCGTATCGGACATCAAAAAGTGGTATCGTGCCATCTCTAGTAACATGATGCTTGATATGGATGCTTTTATTTTGCTTCTTTATTATAACTTTGGCTTTTAGAAGGCCTTTCTGACTTTTCTTTTTAAGTTTCAGTTCAGTCCTTGAACCATCGGGGGTGGTTAGGCTACTTAACACTGACCTATTAAAAAAAGCGCCAAACTCAATGGATGAACAAGTGTTGTGCCTACACAAAGAACCAATTTTAACTTGTATCTCTGAGAATGTTGTTACTAGCACCCTGATTTAAATACACATAAAACACAAAAACATATAAAATGGCATTTTCGTACCAACAAGGTGATCCCAAAGGGTTATTAGCTGCAAACTTGGCATCTTATACTTACATCAGAAATAGGAAAGTCTCTCCAGCAAAGACAACATCCAACATTTCCAACTACATCAAGCAGTTAATCACCTCTCAAAGAGTTTATGTTACTAACAGCTCACCTCTCTGCAGCAGACGACTGCAGTCCTTTAAAATCAATAAGGTCATATTTAGACTGGTCACTCTTTACGGACACACAGCTGGGTCCAGGTTCACGTCCAGCAGGTCTCTCCTTGATCCTGCTGGAGAGGAAAAGTTGTGTTTTTCATTTGCAGCCAGAGAAGCTGATGAAGAATTAGAATATCTTCATCATCCCAAAGAGAAACAGGTTTTCAGGATGAGCATGAGCAGAAGGAAACTCCAAGCTAGTGTTGGCAGTGTAAGAACAGAGCGCCACCCAGAGGTAAACACAGTCATTTACACTGTGCAGGACTATTGATGAATGTACATGTTGGATACGTTTTATAGAATAAATAAATTCCTCGCTCAGTGACTTCCTTTGAGTGGAGATAATTGATCTGCATTTCAGGAGTGGGACACATCTCATAGACTCCCCCTCTGGTCCTCAGTCTATATATACAAATCCTGCCTCAATCTGGCTCTACGATTTGGTGGGACTGGCCTTTGACAGTAGAGCTCATCAGCCTTTCCCAAGAAACTATTTAAACCCTATCACTAACGGTTTAACTGAAATTAAACAGTTTGATGAGTAGCAGCTATTTGAGGGATTTCTTAAAAACAGTAATGGCTTTATTCCATGTAGGAAATAACTCATCTCACAATTAAAGTCACTTTCCAACCTGCATTGTATACAATAGTCACTAAAACATTCAACGTACTAGCCATACATCTGATAAAACATTGTCAAAGAATTATTTAAGCCTGGACTGAACACTTATTTTTATCCAGTATTAGTATTCAGTAGTATACTACAGTTCCAATAAACTCCACCAATTTAATGTCTAAGATGAAGAGGAGCAGAAACATGCACTGGTATCCTGGATGTTTGACCTGTTTTTCTGATAATTAACTGGAAAAAAACTTCATGAAATGCATTCTGGGTAAACTTTAAAACTGGCCATACCACTACGTGGGACAAGTTGATGCTCAAAACAGGTTAGAAGATATCTCAAGTGTCATTTTTACATACATGTTGATGTCAGGCTCATCTTGTACCCATGATTTTTTGCATCAAAATAAGTTTGTAATTTTAACTCACTAATTGATGAAGCCCTTTTATTTTGTCACTTGCAGTTACCTGCAGCGAAATTGGACTGACAACTAAGAACTGTCAGTGCTTGCTGAAGAATTTTTATGCTCTCATAGTTTTCAGCTCTTGTTTTGTCAGTTTGCACTGTTGTAATGGTTTGCTTGCGTATTTAAAGTTTATTGAAGTAAATCCTTTCTCCTCAGGTATGAGCCAGGTGGTTCTCCTCCTTATGGGATTTTACCTTTAATTAAATAAGTTACCTCATAAACTACACTAAGGATGCAAGTAAAACTTAACATCCTAAATGTGAAATTAAAACAACCTGTATCAGTTTCTGTCAATAACACTAAAGAGTATGCTCAAACTTTTTAGTGTTATTGACAGACAACAAAAACACATTAAAGAGGATAAGGCTCTGATAAGGTTAAGCGGGAGAGAATGGATGGTCTCCAGGTGTGCAAAGCTTGTAGAGATTTATCGCAACAACTTTTGTAGCTTTGATTTGCTTTAACTGCAAATCAAGGGTGGTTCAATAAAAGTACTGATTCAGGGATGGGGGGCTGCATACATCCTGTATGCATTCGACACTTTTTACATTTGTATTTGTATAAAAATGGATTTTAATTTACGCATTCATTTCTGTTGATGTACAACATAAAATCCCAGTGAAATATACTTAAGTTTGTGTTTGTACAATATGGAAAGGTTCAAGGGTATGACTACTTTTACAAGGCACTGTGAGTGAGAAAGAGCCATGTCAATTGTTGTTTTTGTTTAGTTTGTTTTCCTTTGCAGAATCTGGAAATATTTGTAAAACTATCAATTAACACAAAGCTCTACATTAGTAGCCGTGTACTGGGCAGTGCAGAACTGTGGTTCACAAAGAATGCATTCAAGTGCACCATTTAGTGTAGGTCACCTGTGTTTTAGCTCAGTGTAGGTACATGTGTGTAACAAGATGCTTGATATGGATGCTTTTATTTTGCTTCTTTATTATAACTTTGGCTTTTAGAAGGCCTTTCTGACTTTTCTTTTTAAGTTTCAGTTCAGTCCTTGAACCATCGGGGGTGGTTAGTCTACTTAACACTGACCTATTAAAAAAAGCGCCAAACTCAATGGATGAACAAGTGTTGTGCCTACACAAAGAACCAATTTTAACTTGTATCTCTGAGAATGTTGTTACTAGCACCCTGATTTAAATACACATAAAACACAAAAACATATAAAATGGCATTTTCGTGCCAACAAGGTGATCCCAAAGGGTTATTAGCTGAAAACTTGGCATCTTATACTTACATCAGAAATAGGAAAGTCTCTCCAGCAAAGACAACATCCAACATTTCTAACTACATCAAGCAGTTAATCACCTCTCAAAGAGTTTATGTTACTAACAGCTCACCTCTCTGCAGCAGACGACTGCAGTCCTTTAAAATCAATACGGTCATATTTAGACTGGTCACTCTTTACGGACACACAGCTGGGTCCAGGTTCACGTCCAGCAGGTCTCTCCTTGATCCTGCTGGAGAGGAAAAGTTGTGTTTTTCATTTGCAGCCAGAGAAGCTGATGAAGAATTAGAATATCTTCATCATCCCAAAGAGAAACAGGTTTTCAGGATGAGCATGAGCAGAAGGAAACTCCAAGCTAGTGTTGGCAGTGTAAGAACAGAGCGCCACCCAGAGGTAAACACAGTCATTTACACTGTGCAGGACTATTGATGAATGTACATGTTGGATACGTTTTATAGAATAAAAAAATTCCTCGCTCAGTGACTTCCTTTGAGTGGAGATAATTGATCTGCATTTCAGGAGTGGGACACATCTCATAGACTCCCCCTCTGGTCCTCAGTCTATATATACAAATCCAGCCTCAATCTGGCTCTACGATTTGGTGGGACTGGCCTTTGACAGTAGAGCTCATCAGCCTTTCCCAAGAAACTATTTAAACTATTTAAAACCTATCACTAACGGTTTAACCCTTTAAGACCTACCATAGAACCAAGTCCGCCAGAGCTTGTATTATATTTTTACCTGCTGTGGAGCCATTTTTGGGAGCATTTCAAGTTGCTATACATCAATACAACCATTATAGCCCAGATTTTAATAATATGTCTGCATTAAGTGCATAGTAATTACATAAATTGCAAAAAAGTGCAATAAACTACAAAAAAATTGAAAATCGTTTTTGCTTTTTTAACATATATTTGTAGTTAGAGAAATTTAAGAGGCTTATCCCTCAAAACTGTAAATACAAAAAAGTTGCACAAAATAGTTTCCCACCACAGGAAATTTATTTTGAGTGTCTTCATAATTTTATTTTTGAAATACACCAATTTTTATACACTGCAGGAAAAACGAAAATAAATATTATACTGCAAATTTGCAAAAAAGCAGCATGTGGATCAAAATAAACTATTTCCAGCAGTGCAATATGAGTCCTAAGCATCTCAGAAACGACACAGAAAGTCATAAAGTCAAAGATAACTTTTAAAAACACAAGTATAAGCTCATGAGGCCCTGATAGTAAAAAAGACTACATTTCCGCGAAAATGACGTCACTTCCGGTTTTGGGCAGGTCATGGCGGACATGCAAAAGTTCGCGCTGATGGCTATTCCAACGTAGGAAGTGTTATGAACAGCTGATCGGATCGGCAAAGCGTGTTTCTGGAATATCATGTTTTTGTTGCTGCAAGCGCTTTTTATGCAGTTTTTGCAAAGCTTTATGTGGAAGGAAACTGTGACCGAGGACAAGCTGATGGCATAAGATGTAAGTACAACTCCTCCGGTTTCATATGCAAAAAAAATTTTTGCGCTAGCTTACGTGGTTGCAGAGCTACTGGGATTTAAAAATAGTTACGCAAAACAGAGCGTGCCCGCTCCGATCGGCTCTAAAGGGTTAACTGAAATTAAACAGTTTGATGAGTAGCAGCTATTTCAGGGATTTCTTAAAAACAGTAATGGCTTTATTCCATGTAAGAAATAACTCATCTCACAATTAAAGTCGTAGTCGTTTTCTTAACATTCTGTTAATCTAAATGTTACATTTTGAGTGGGAAAAACATTTTGTCCTTCTAACAAGTAACTAATTCTTGGATGAATAATGAAATCTTATTCCTGCTTAAAACCACTCCCACTTTTTTTTCTTTTTGTTTAACAACCAAACACCATCAAGCAGTTAAATCAGCTCCCAAAGAGTTCATGTTATTAACATCTCACCTCTCTGCAGCAGACAGAGGCTGGACTTTAAAACCAACTACTGCCTTCATAGACTGGTCACTCTTTACAGACACAGAGCTGGGTCCAGGTTCATGTTTGCGTTTAGTTCCTCGTTTCTTCCTGTGAATAATGATGCAGCAGTGATGTGAGTGCTGAGCTGTGACATGGAGAAGAGTCATGGACAGTTAGAGATGGTCGTCTCACCTCTGAGCTTTGGTCTGGCTCTCATGTTCCCCACACAGAGTGCTTTTAGAGGGAGAGGCTCCCTCCTCTCTGTCCTCACACTGATCCATGCTGCTCAATTCACATCAGCTCACACACACTTTCTACCTGCAGAGGAAACACAAATCATTCATGTGCACATCAACTGAAATCCTCATTTTCTTCAAATATCAGCAACTTTATTTCTTTGTCAGCTTAATTTGTAATTTGTATTTCGGAGCATTTTCCCCAATTTTTCCTGTTTCAAACCAAAATACTGAGAGTTAAATAACATCTATAAAATCTACAGTTTGACTGAAGTGAATTTCTTTCTTTTTTTAACAGATAGAAATTGATGCTGCATATTATTGTATAAATACTTTATTGTGCATCAACATCATCGCTATTATTTTAATACAAATAGTATTTTCAAAGTACTTGGTCATCAAAACAAGCTGAAAAATTCGTTTTTGCATGTTGCAGTTTAACATCTGACTTATTTTAATTCAGTTGTTTGTGATATGTAGCCATTTGTAAATGGTTTAAGGATTAGAGGCTGAACATAAGTTTTCTTCAGTCTCATGCCGTGAATATTACATAAGAAATGCAACACCTAATGCACCAGCCACCTTTCCTTGTGAAAACCCTTTGTTGGAGCACAGACTTTGTGATGCAAGCTCAATCAGTGCTACATCTGATTTAAATATTACTTCATAAAGTCCCATGTAAACCCAAATCATCCCGTCTGCTCCACACCGAAACATTCAGCCAAGCAATGTGGTTTATCATATAACATTTCACAAAACAAACTGTTTTAAAACCAGCGTTATCCAGTCAGTTTTATTACCAACATGCAACAAGTGCAGCAACAACCGTGTTTTCTGACACGAGTTTCTATTTAGATGAAGTTAGTTTGTGACGCAGTATTTTAAATCAGGCCTACATGTTTAATCTATATCTAAGCTACATCTATAATAACATCAATAATAACAATAATAATAATATCTCCTGCTTTCTCCTTAACACAAGTGGATCTCTGAGTCTCTCGAGCGGCTGTTGTTGTGTCAGTGAGGGGAGAGCAGCAGCTCCACTCCGCCTCCTCCACAGACTGATGGAGGCAGGAAAAGCTGCCTTTAGTCATCAGGAAGTGGATCCACAGTAATCCACAGAATTCAACTGCTCACCGTCAACTAACTCTCCTGCTGCTCTCAGTCAAGGACTCTGATCACACACTAACAGGAAATTGGATTTGAGATGACTCGTGTTTTAGTTCAATATATTGCTGTTATTTGAGTATTATATTGTTCCCTGCTACTTCTGAGTTTTGTTCTCCATGCTCTTATGGTCTTGGTTCCCTTTTGTGTCTTGTTTGTCCTCATCTTATCTTTGTGTCTTGTTGTCAGTCTCCTGTGGACGTCAGCCTTTCCTCCATGTGTTCTTACCTACCTACATGGTTTGTCTGCCTCTATAGTTCATCTTGTTTCCTCAGCCAGTCATGTCTCTATGTTTGTTTACCTTTCTATCAATGTCAAGTTCATATATCTTATTCCTGGCCTCTGTGTGTTACTCACTTCCTCATTTGACAATTCCTTGTTCTGCTGTATTCCCCAAGTGTGCCAAGTCCCCCCCCCTTTGATTTTGGGTTTACTTTCATCTGTGAGTCCTGCATCCTGGGTCCACTCTCTGCCTGCCACACATCCACAATCCACGACAGAGGGTTTCTGCCTTGGCGTGTGTTTTTCTACCTCCAAACACCCTTTGGGGGTGTTTGTGTTTTTTGTTTTGTTTTGTCCCACAAAGCATTTGGAAAATTGTTTATAAAATAACACAAGCACAGACATGTTAAATAAAATTTTGTAACTTCCCACGTATTGAATAAATGTTGACTTATTTTCAGCAGATTTGATTTGAAGTTTACTAGGAACCTTTCTTCCTCCTGTGAGCCTGATTGTCTTCATCTGAGCCCTCCATGATTGCTCAGCTTTTCACTGGCCACTCCCTTAGCCTGCTGGCTCTTCACCAGCCTTAGAGGTCCAACTCTCCAGCTCCCTAGTGTGCTCCTCAACAGCTTAGTTTTTGGTGGAGATGTGGACTGAGAATATAGAGCCTGCCACCACTGGGCCCCAAGCTATCTCTTCCAGGTGAAAGTGGGGCTCGTGTTGTCGGTTTTACACACTGCAGCTAGAGCCTGTGTCTGGGCCTGCATAACGTTTTGTCTTTTGGTTGGGTCCCAGAAACCTCTTCTTGTGTTCCTGAGCCAGCTGACTCACAGACTGCCAGTTGTAGACCTGTGCTTGCTTTCCAAGATACTGTTGCTCTGCCCAGGGTCCCCTAAGAGACTATCAGCCACTGGGTGTCTCCACCGAGACTGAGGACCCTGCTCTTACGGTGAGATTGTGTATATTGCTGAACAGCCCCACACACAAGCTTTCTGCCCTCTCAGACTCACTTCCATCACCCTCCAGATGGTTTCAGTTGCCTGCATCACCAGAAGTGTTCCACCACTGCTGTCTTGACTGGCCACCTCCTCAGTAAACGGGGCACTCCATTACTGGCCTCTGGTCCCCTGAACAGGTCTGCCGCTGGCTCCCTCCTCTTTCTCCCAGGGAGTCCCATCTCCTCAGCCAGTGCTGTTCCCATACCAAGTCCCCTGAATTGCTTCACTCTGTTGCTGGCCTCTCTCTCCTGGTCTTGCACCATTGTTGGACACTCCCCCAGAACTGTCTCTTCATTTGTGGACTCTTGTCCTCCCTATTGTTTTCCTATTATTCTTTTTTCTGATTGACCTGTTTGTTCAGCTGCTTGCTGATACTGAGAAGGTTTCTGTTTCTCTGTGTTTGATGAGCTCTGACTTCTGTGTATCTAGCAAATACTTTGCCTCTCGCCCTATTGTAGCATGGATAGATGGATGAAAATACTGTAATTAGTCCTGTATGTAATAAGATGGAGCTGAGCTTTGTCACATTTTCACAATTCAACATCTTCCCATCCTCAGTAGTGTGTACTGCTGACTGAAATTCACGTATCTACAAACAAGTATGAAACTCCGAGCTTACTGTACCTCTTACTGAAAAACAGAGCTACTATCAGGAGTCAGAGCTCAAGCTTAATGACAAAAGAGACAGGGAGGAGAGGAGGCAGATTTTCACAGTAAGAGGAAGTAAAAAGACAAAAAGGAAAATAGAAGCATTCCTTTTTAAAGCAAGAGTCAAGTTCATTGAACAACATGTGAACAATGAACGTGATAAACAGAAGTCATCTTTACTGCAGCTCATGATTCAGAAACAACAAACACTCCATCAAACACAGAGTAAAAGTGTCTCCAACGGAAGCAGAAAAAATGTCCCTTTAATGAAAACAAATCACATGAACGAGGAGCTTCACTCACAGCTTTTCCTTCATCTTAATGCAGTTTTTTACTGTCTGTGTACAAACTGATCTTTGAGTCTTGCTTCAGACTGGATTTAACTGCAGCTTCTTGTCTTTGCATATCTGTGCGCGCGCAGGCCACACCTTCATGTCTTCACTCAAAATATGCTGTCTGACTGCTCAGACGGAGTTTAAGGCGAAGGAAAGTTTACATGCTGACTTGTAAAGACATAAAACCTTTGTCTATTTCTGTCACAGCCCAGCTCCAAAGTCTGTGACAAAGGAGGTAGAGCACACAGTCTGTAGATGATGCTCACAGTTTTAATGAAGCCAAGAAACCACAAAGTAGTGTGTGTCTGTCAGCAAATCACTGTGCAGAGTCTGAATGAGTGTATGAATGGGACTAAACACCAATGCCAACAAGGAGCTGATTCAGCCAGGCAGAGGTAGTGGGAGTGAAAGGATGCCTGTGCTGGTACAATACTGATATTTTATTTTGAAAAGACTAGCAGGAAACAGAAATACACTGCTGTGTGTTTGACTTTAATGGAGAGACGACAGTTTTCTTCCGAATAAAAAAAGTTAAGAAATCAATGAAACATCAGCTGTTCATCAAATTGTCTGATTCAATCAATAATCTATAATCATGTGGATTTGTCTTAAAACACAAGAGTGATCAATGTCTGTCCTGAAATAAGAGCTGAACATCAGGTCCAAACATCACAGAGACAAACAGTCAAACTGTTAAAGGAGGAAACAACGCAAACTTACAGTTTCTTCAAACACGCACACCAACAACAAGCTCCACACCTGGACACTAAACACGGACACACAGGTGGGCGGCTTCCTGGAAGGAGGCGGGACTCCACCTGGAGCAGGACAGGTGGGAGGAGGAGATTTTAGATTAGATTAATTTCTGAATTAATCTAGGAGTGTTGATCCTGAATACAGCACACAGAGGGACTTTCGCCTCTTCAGTTTTCTGCATGACTTCAGTCTCTTTTATTTTCAAATAAACTTTACTGAGACCATGAACAGTACAACAGGCTACATAAAGATGATTGAGATCTGGAATTTAGAGGATTTAGAAAAAAAGGTTCTCAGAGCTGCTGTAGAAACACTGATCAAAGTCTTTTTAAGTCAAAGTCCTTATTTTAAACTGCTATTAACTACATGTACTCACACGGGAAACTACTGGGTGATATTAACATTGAAATGCAGCTTAGAGCTTAGAACATTTGACCAATACCACACAGTTTTTAATAGTTCAGCTATTTAGCCAAACTATATTTATGTTACAGTTTTACAGTGACCATGAGCTTAAAGTGCATTTTCTCAGCTTTTTTAAAATTCAAACAGCCCAGTTGTGCAGAAATATTAGATCATAGCAGCACTGTTACATACAATGAAACCTCCAGAATTGTAAAAATACAGAGATATACATGTTTGTCCATACTGTCAGCATTATCACGCAGTGGATAAAGAACGTTCAGCACAACTGGATCCAACCATCTGAGTCACTCCGCCATTCAAACAGAGCTTGCATTCGTATTTTTTAACATTCATTAGAAACAATGGATCTATTCTGAATTAAGTAATTGCAAGATCATAAGAGGTGAAAAAACAAAATATAATCCCCAAATTAATTGTTTGCTGCATTTCTTTCATTTTTCGGTTACAGTAACTGTTGTTCTGTTTCAACAAAAATATATCTGTCCTATGAAAAAAGGACAGAACTCAATTCAGTTTAATTCCCCAAATTTTAATAAAGAAAAACTTACAAAAAATCTACATGTTAACAAATGTTATTTTACACTGAAATACACAGACTGAATAACATCTGTAATTTGGCCCAAATTATGTCTAATTTGTACAGATATAAGTGTCTTTTATTGGTGAGTCTTACTATTCAAATAGATGCCATAACATTATTCTACAAGTCAATGCTTTTACATCCCTACAATGTCATTTTTAAAAGTAAAAATATTTTCTAAATAATTCCCCTTAAGAAAAAATGCAAAACTTTATTGTGACGTCTATTAAAATTAAAATTGATTACTGATGTGCATATCATTTCTAAATAGTTTGAGTGATTAACCTGCATCGGGACCTATGAACTTCTAACCCCTGCGAGTCAATCTTACAGTTCGAGCAGAAGCTGAGACTGAAAAAATCGCACAGTGTCTGCCCAGCTTTAGACGAAACAAAAGTTGCTATATTTGACTTAATGTGTTTGGAGTGCTCACACTGTGCGTCCATAACATGAAGGTTATAACAGAAATTCTGTCGCTCGCTCTCTCTGTCTTTCACTCACACAGACACGCCACCACCATCAACTTTGCTAAATTACTAATGAAAAACATTGATCAGCTGTGATTGAGCAGCGATGTCCATCCAATTATTTTCACGGTTGTTGTGGTCGTGATGATTTTGTGAGGACACATCGAAAAGGCTCGGATGAGCCATAGTCCTACAAGTTGTGCCTCCATCTCTTGTGTCCAGATCACACGCCGCACTGCTCCGTCTTTTCACTTTCATTTCTGTTTTTGCGCGTGCGCAGTGTGAGATGCTGCGGTGACACGCTCATGACAGCCGACAGGATTTCAAACAGGTTTAATTTTTTATGACCAAGCGATTGATGATCGGGAGGTGGTCGTGAGGTGTTAATCGCTTCTCGCTACCCCACGTATACTACACGATGCACGACGCACGATGAAGGCGAAACTCGGGCCGATCACCAAAACGGTCGCACGACTGAAAAATCGGCTCAAAATGAGTCAAAAATCGCCCAGTGTCTGCCCAGCATAATCCAGTCAGTCACACTTGAAATGCAAACCCTGCTCCACGGTCCTGTCTCTGCTTTGGAGGGAATAGGCTGTTGGAACAGAGCCAACAGTTTATGACGCAGTAGTTTTAAGCCAGTGAGTGAGTAAGGTCAGTGATCTAAATATAAGCTATAACGATATAAAATAATAATAATAATAAGTTGACTATCTCCCGCTGTCTCTGTGAATATAAAAAGCGGAGCTCAGACTCTCTCCATTAGCTGTTGCTCGTTTGGTGTGTCCCTGTTAGCCAGGAAAACGTTACACGCTGACTTTAATGGAGAGAACAGAAATAAAAACACAGTTTGTTGTGTGAAGAAACCAAACGTGAGCTGAACAAACAGTAAAGTTCCTAAAGACAAACTGTTAAAGGAGGAAACAAAGCAAACTTACAGTTTCTTCAAACACACACACCAACAACAAGCTCCACGAATTTCAGGAAAGACGAATCTTGGAAAGAAGGAGAAACACCCAAAGAGGCGTTTGAGGACACTCAGGTCCATCGAAACCCTATATGCTGCGTTCAGGTGAACCTCGGAAACTCCCAAATCTCTGACAGGTTGTGATTTTTTTCTGTTGGTTTTCCTGTTTGAAACACAAACATCTGTCATCACTTTGTTGTTCTTTTTCCTGCAGCGGTTGAATATTTCAGCAGTAAACTGACGTTTCTTCAAGCTCATTTCAACATGTTGAAGTCATGAATGAAAGTGCAGTTTAAGGAGGGTCATGTGACATGTTCAGTATTGTCACACATGTCTAGATTGTCCCTGATATCATAACTGCTCAAACACTGATGATTATATTTGAAGGATTATTACTGATGGCAGCAAAGTTTGAATGGAGCTCTCTGTCTGTGCTGATTTGTCGCCCTCTGGAGGTGAAAATACAAACTGCATGATGTCACTGTAACCACCACAGAGACAGGAAGTGTTTTTAAATGACTGAAACACTGAAATGATGCTAACGGCTGTCGTTGGGCTCACTGATAGCAATGCTGATGCGTTCATGTCAAACACTGGCTCAGGTCAGACTCCATCCTTCTCCAGCGTGAAGCTGCCCTCAGACCCACAGCAGTTCTGACTTTTGACCTCCTAACCCTAACGATTTTAGTCTCTTTGCCTCTTTAATGCAAATCCATCTAAACTGTAGCAGAACAAAAGACGCTGTAAGCTGTTCTATGACTGATGTTCATACCAGAGTTTCTGTTTCCAGCTCATACGTGTTAAACGCTGCTGCTGTGCTACATTTGTCATTTCCTGCTTTCACTGCCATCCATGTCAAAGCGCTGAAGTCATCACTTTAATGCAGTAAAAAGGAGCTGTAAGTCTGACATTTATTTACTGTCATCACAAACACACACAGCTGGATTAGCACCCAGACAAAGGTCTGAAAAGCTGAAAATCAGCAGCCTCTTTGCTGTCTTCACTGCTGATTCAGCCTTCCCGTTACTCTGGGGGTAACCTGGTGAAGACGTTTTGTGCTGGAAATCCCACAGTCGACTAAATCTCAGAAACTCACCGGACGTATACTGTGGTCCATTATCTGAAACAACAATGTCCGGGATGCCCTGTCTGGCAAAGTGAGCCTTCAGCTTTCTATTCACTGTGCTGGACTTAGTTTCCGGGAGATAGTCAATTTCCCAGAAGTTTGAATAGTAGTCCACTGTGATAAGGTAGTCCTTGTTGTCAAGAATAAACAGGTCTGAGCCCACCTTAGCCCATGGTCTAGTTGGGATCTCAGGTGAGACCAAGGTCTCTTTCTGCTGTCTGTAGTCAACTGACCTGCAGATGTCACACTTAGTCATATAAGTCTTAATTTGTTCGTTCATGCCTAACCAATAAACACACTCTCTGGCTCTCCTTAGACAACCTTCTACACCTAGGTGTGTCGAGTGTAGTCTAGTTATGATCTCCTGTCTCATGGTAGTCGGGACAACAAGACGTTCACCTCTAAACACAAGTCCATCCTGACTACTCAGTTCATCCTGGAATGAGAAGTATGGTCTGATGTCACCGTCAGTGGCTCTTTTGTCTGTCGGCCAACCTCTGTGAATTGTATCTATGAGGATCTGTAGTGCTTTGTCCTCTTGTGTAGCAGTCCTTATGCTGTTTAGTCTGTCAGGTGAGATGGGTCTCCTCCTCTATGGAGCCCTGTGGTGAGCACTCTGGAAGATATGCCCTGCTCAACGTGTCTGCTAATAACATGTCTTTGCCTGGCACATACACCACATCTATGTCATATTTTTGAATGCGCATAAGCATCCTTTGCAACCGTTTGGGTGCACTCAACAGCGGTTTTCTTACAATGGTCTCTAAGGGTTTGTGATCACTGTGTATCACCACTTTACGACCATATGTGTACTGATGAAACTTCTCCATACTGAAAACTACAGCCAAAAGCTCCTTTTCGATCTGGGCATAACCTTGCTCTGTACGTGTAAGTGCTCTACTCACAAAAGCCACAGGCTTACCCGTCTGCATGAGTGCTGCACCTAACCCTTTGTCAGAAGCGTCACATTGTACTGTCAGCTCTTCCTCTGGGCAGTAGTATTTCAGGACTGGAGCCTCTGCTATAGTCTCTTTCAGTCTCTGGAATGCGTCTTCATGTCGAGTCGTCCAGTTCCACTCACTGTCTTTCTGTGCCAGCTGTCTCAGTATGTCACAGTTGTCAGACAGATGTGGGCAAAACTTTGCTAAGTAGTTCACCATACCTAACAGTCTCTGTACTGCCTTCACGTCTGTAGGTCTGGGCATTTGTTCTATAGAGCTAACCTTCTCTGGGTCTACTTTCAGACTGTTGCATGTCAGCTGATGTCCAATGTACGTAGTCTGCTTCTATTTAAGTTTAAATTTGTCTGCGTTTAACTTAATGTTTTTTCTGCCTGCAACGAGTCAAAAACTGTCTCAGCTTCTCGTCATGGTCACGTACTGCTCCAGCATCTGTGTCCCCCTGACCCGTGATCAGCACACCATCTGCAATGATGTAGATCCCTGCCAGACCATCCAAAGCTTGTGTGAGCTTCCTCTGGAACACTTCCGGAGCTGGACTTATCCCCATTGGCATCCTCAGCCATCTGTAGCGTCCAAACGGAGTCTAAAATGTTGTCAGGTAGCTCGACGACTCCTCCAGTTTCACGTGCCAGAATCCACTCTTCACGTCGCAGACAGAGAACACTTTAGCCTTTGACAGATCTGGCAAAATGTCCTCAATGGTGGGCAATGGGAAGTGGCTCCGTAGTATGGGCTTTGTTTAAGGGTTTTGGATCTATACACACCCTTAAATCCCCACTCTGCTTTTGGACCACAACCATCCCACTGATCCAGTCTGTGCTGCATTCTACTGGTGTAATGATCCCTCTGCGCTGAAGATCTTGAAGCTCCTTTTTTAATGGCTTTATCATTGCAATAAAAAGCTGAACAGAGTCCAGAGTGTGGAGAACCAATGAGAGCAAATACAGAGAGAAGTGAGAGCAGAGCAGCCAATCAGACGGGTTCAGGGCTGAGGAGGCGGAGCTGCAGACTAAGGAAGAGCAGAGTGGACTCTACATGAGAGACTGCAGATGATAAACTTTGACAATAACTTATTGATGAACGTGTGTTTATGTGAGGTCAGATTATAACTGTCCTCGGTCAGCTGTTCAGTCTGTGTTTAGATCTCATGTTAGCGCAAACGTTATTGCGTGTTACCCACAATTCATGTGAAACTTTCACAGTGGAATCATTCACATCCATGTGTTAGCTGTTGTACTGCTGGACCATTTCTAATGTGCATTTAACTGTATGATCTCTAATCAATGATCCAGTTCATTGATTCAACTCATCAAAGCCCCCAAAATGGACTTGAAATACTCGATTTGTGACATTTGAAGTCAAATGTGAAGAAATGAACATCATAGTTTCTTCAAGAAATGATTTCTCTGTCATTGCTGCTGCTGCTACATACATACAAATATCAAAGTTGAGTTTGGTAATTGTTCTGTAGTGATTCTATGATATTTCAAAGTATCCCATGAGTCCATCTTCAGTCTGATTTACCCAGGCTGGCACTTGGAGTACACTGGCATGTGGCCCCTTGTGCCAGCATTAGTGCTTTCCTCCTTTCTGCTGTTCACAAATCACCAATCACACTTTGACTATTACCATTAAAACAACAGTAAGTAAATGTAGCAACAGAGCTACGATACTTTAAATGTTGTCCAAGTTTCATGATTCATGTGAGGATGTTGCATAAGAAAAGCATGATGTATAAAGCATAAGTGTTTCTGACCAGTTGTTGACGTTCCTTCATTTTCCCTGATGAAATCTATCAAATACTGTCCAACAGACTGATGGCACAGCAGTGCAGAGGCTGCTGAACCTGCCTCTGAAGCCTCTGGTTTAAAATAGTTAAAAGAAATAGTCCAGCTATAGTTGTCAGTATTTCAACTGCTGCACAGCAAATAACTTTATTATAAAATAAAGCAATTCTGCTGATATTGGGCCGCCGTTGTGTTGCTTTGAATGTGTATTTTTTTGGGGTGACAAAAATGTTGTTTATTTCTTTAATAAATAGTTTTGACCAGTAAACTCTCCTTGTTTAAACATGCACCATGGTGTGGTCTTTCTTTGCTTGTGACTTCTTGATGTTGGTAAATACAATAATTGAAAAATACCACGTTACATCTAATATACATATGATAATGTACAACACATTATGGAGTAGGCTTCTGCTGTGAGGTCCCGCCTCCATGTACTTATGCAGTTAATTGCTAGACGGGTATTTTTATAAATAATATTACATTAGGGTAATTTTCCTATACATATTTTTGACCTGGGGGTAGAATTGATTGTGAAATGGAAAAGGAAAATGCTTATGAACTTGCAAATGAAAAACATGATGCATTTAAGGTAACCCTTTTTCATTTTTATTTAAGAAGAGAATTTGTTCCACTGTGCGATGGCCGAACCTGTTCCTTTTCGTGGACATCATTTCTCCTGCCTCAAACAAAATCCCTCACATGGCCCAGAGGAGGCTGAAGTGCAGAGAAACTGGTAGAGATGCAGTTATACAGTCTACATGGGCCCCACAAACTATCAGCTAAAGAGAATAAAGAAATTAAATTGCTGCACATTTGGCAGACTAACAGTTTAAGATTATTTAAAACATAAAATATATATTTTTATAACATTAAATTTAAAGAGTCAAATAGAAGTCTTTCTAAAGTTATTTAATGATATTTATATTGTGAAAAGCAGATTTTTGACATTTTATCTTTTTCCCGTTTTCAGATATAATAAACACGCACAAAACAAAAGCAAACAACAAGAACACAAAGCTGGAAAACCCAAAATCAACTCAGAACACTCCCACACAACAGAACCTCCTCTATTCCTCGCTGGCTCCAAATCTCTCAGTGGAATGATCAGTGGTTTGCTATCTGTCACCATCAAAACACTCCACAAATCCCGCGAATGATTCGCTTCCTTTTAATCCATGGAATCAGATACCGAAGCAGTTAGAC